GAAATACATACTCCACACCTCGCTAACCAAAATGCAAAATGAGTCAAAGAGTACCAGGTACCTTGCCTTCCTAAGTGCCTAAAAAATGAGGAGAAAAGAAAACATTTTGAAATGGAATTAAGGTTCCGTTCTGTCGTACCTAACATCCAATGGTGATGTTATCGATAAGTTGTCATCTTCAGAATCTGATTCGTTTATCGATAAGTTGTCATCTTCAGAATCTGATTCATTTATTGAGAATTTGTCATCTTCAGAATCCTCACTTTCTGATAGCTCTGAGATTGAGGAACCTGCGTTTATCTCTGAAAGACTCGCGGAAAAGAAATCATTGGTGGAATCTACATTTTGCTTTTCAAGTATTTTCAGTTCCCCTGATTCCTTGATCTCTTGTGTTGGACTATCCAAGATTGAAATGGGATTTCTGTCATTTGGGTCACCATAAAGTGCAATATGTCTGTAATACAGCTCCAGTTCCTTCTCAGCAACGGCAATGAAGTGCCGCACGGTCTCAAGGGATTGCTCGTACTTAAACTTTTCCAGTGCCTGTAAACAGGGAAAACAGACTCAATATTGAGAGATCACTACTCAACTTTCAAGCTCCATTACAAGATGAGATGTTCGTAAAGCAACAAGCATATAAAAATCCAACTACCCTCTGCTTGTCAAAACAGCTGAACAAAATTATCATCATTTTCCATACCCGAGGATAACTTTTTGTTAAAGTACCTTAAATCAAGTTTTCCAGTGAAATGTTTTATGGTTGAACTATAAAGTTTCCGTGAACTTAGTTCATGCTAGATCAGAGAGTTGATCTGGACAAGGTAATCAACAGGCCCGACCATGGGTCCAATCAACAGGCCAGGCAAGGCCACAACCATACCTGCAGGCCGTGAGCCGACAGGCCTCTAGCTGGAGTTAAGTTATGGTTCATTTCCATAAATTATTAAGAACAAAGATTAATGAAGGATATACTGAAATGACCCGAATTAAGTTAATTGATACTTGACAAGTTTTACTTGCTACAAAATGGATATATTCCAATGAGCGGATAAAAAAGAAAGAAAGAGAGAAATTGATGTGGAAATGACTGCCATAGGTACTTGTCTGTCGACTAGATACTCTTTCCAAAGATACTTGATTGACAACAAAACAATTACGGAAGTGGAAGATGTGAAAGTGCAATACCTAGCAACAATGGACCACACCTCACATCTCAAACTAATACGGAAAATGCAACAAAATTGCGTTTAAAATTATAAACAGTTACACAAGAGAGAGAAGAAACTGAGTAGACGAAGCTTGAAAAATCACCTTTTTCTTGGACAAAGTATTTGTGGGTGACATAACTTTTGGCATGACATAGTTCTTTCCTCGATAGAATACTATGGTGTCATCTCCAACTATTTGAATTGGGATCCCGCCACTCAGTCTAGCAATTTCCTGGGCATAATCGTGTACTTGGCCAGGTTTACATGGCTTGCAAATCACCTTGACGGTTTCATGTTTTTTCCAATGCATATGCATGTTAAGAATAACACCTCCGAAAATTCCTCGTTTTCCAATTGGTGCATAATTAGACTTCTTTTGAGCCATTTTCTTCATATAAAACCGCTCCTCACCTGTCAGGTCATCCGGTTGTACCTCAGGACCCTGGACTTTTGGAATTTCATACCTCTTAAGTCTTTCAATCAGCAAAGCTTCCTTTATTCTAGCCTGAATAGAAAGAAAAAAAGTCACAAAAATTAAAGATTAGGATGATAAAAAAAAAATTCTTATCTTCAAAAGACTAGCGCTATCAAAAGATTTTTTAAAACAAATGAAAAGACAAACTGGTCATGAGGGGCAGTAGTGTTTGAAAGTATTTCAATTTTGTTTTAAAAGTACTGAAATGACCTAAGCCTCACCAAATATTAGAAACCAATTACAAATTCTCGGCTAGTGCACAGAAAAAGGTGGAAACTATACGAGGCCTCCTCATATTGGGAGGGAAAAAAGGGCAAGCAAATTGAACATTAAAATAAATAAAAAACGATCATAGGTCATCATAATTGTGCAAGTTCCTAAATATTTCAGTCTTAAGGACTGAAAAGAGGCACAGAACTGCAGAAATGAGAGAATTACTGTAAAATAACACCTTCCCTGACACATTAGTTGAAACTTAAAAATTAAACCTTTGTTTAAATACAAAAATAGATTCAGGGGACAGTAAAAAGTCAGACTTTTCCCATGGGTGTGGCCTAATTTGGAGTTAAAAACACAGTAAAACACCTTTAGATGTTAAAAAATTTAATGGCATCCCAACCCCTAAGAAATATATTTTCAACAAATGTGTTTCCTTCTAAAAAAATTATACTTGACAAACAGCTTAGTTCGAACAAAACACTCCTATTTTCCTTTTTCTTTTTCCAGTTCATGCAATTTCAAATATGCAAAAGCATAAATTTCAATTTAAGAAACTAAGGCATGCAACAGTCAATTGAAACTCTTTGTCTTTTCAAGTTTTTTTTTTCAAATTTTTTAGGAACCTTAATAGCTTTGACTTTAATCAGAGTTTGTTGCAAGACCTTGTCCTGAGACAATATTTCTTAAGCAAAGTACTTGGTCTGCAAGGAAGACCATTGCTTAAGGTTGATACAAAGTTTCCTTAACTCTAAGAATCAAGAAAAGCAGCAGTATGCATTTACACTTTCATTGAAAAGAAAAAATTATATAGTTTAGACTAGAGTAAACTGCCAATTTGCCCCCTGAACTATCACTGAACTTTTGATTTCCCCTTGAACCTTTTAATTGGAAAATTAAGAACTTAAACTAATTTTTTTGGCCGATTTCCCCCCTACCGTTAGTTTTTCATAGATTTCATCCACATTAACGTTAACTTTTATCATGTGCAAACCACGTAACTCTCCTTTGTGGACAAAAGTGTCATTTCACTGGACCTTCAGACACAAAAGCTATAGAATCACACATATTTGCATACGTTTATATTTTAGAAATCTAAGGTTTTCAATTATTTTAAAGAATGAAGTGACTGAACTACCCACACATGTTGTGCACATGCTTCCATTTGACAGAAATTTGGATGAAATGAATGAAAAATTAACAGCAGGGGGCAAATCGGCCAAAAAAATTAGTTTAAGTCCTTAATTTTCCAATTAAAAAGTTCAGGGGGGGAATCGAAAGTTAGGTGATAGTTCAGGGGGCAAATCGGCAGTTTACTCTTTAGACTAATACTAGTTCAGATATAAATTAATATAAAGCGCCACAAGCTTATCTTGCTTTAAAAGGAAATAAGACATACTATAAGCGCATAAAGAACTAGGAATACCAGAAAACAATAATCCAACTCATTTCCCAGTCAAATCTCTACTTGGTGAAAATCCACCTTGGAGAACAAACTAGAACCAACCACTCTATCTGATGTTCTCAAGCCTATGAATGGCCGAATTGGAAGCCTATAGTTGACTGTTATCTATTTAATTAACACAGATTTTCTGCAAAGTCCTCCAAAAGTTTCAGAGCAGAAATTGCAGAAGGACTACAACTATGACCAATAGGAAAAAGACCTTCTACTTGCCCATTCAACTTGCAATGATCTTCAGGGTTCACTTATAATGTGAAAGATTAGGAAATTATGATAAGAGCTAGGGACTAAACTAATGGCATGATGAATATGTCCCATGGATGGTAACTCATCTTTTGGGTGTCAAGTCATCAACCTCATCTAGTAAATAAGTATTCGCAGGGCCACAGGTGGTTGGTAGGAACCCGAATAGACTCTAAATAAAACAAGTACCATCACTCTAATTCATAACCTCTTTTAAAGACTTCCATTGGAACAAATATGATTTATACTTGCTAGGATGGAGAGGAAGTGGAACTGCACTTAGGATTACGACTTTCTACACGTTTTGCAAGCCTTAACATAATAATCGCAGCTTAAGCATAAAGCAGTAGTTATTATCCGTACAATGTCTCTCTGAATCATGATCATAAAGCCAAGGAAGTGGTAAAATCCATAGGAAAGACATCACAACCAGAATAGTCCAATTCAGCTAACCTTTTCAAGCTTGTACTTGATTCTCTCCTCAGCATTAGCAAACTTCTGCCCTTTCTTCTTCCTCTTGATGCCGAGCCGACGTGGATCCTTCCTATTGGCGGCTCTTCTCTCCTGCTTCTCTCTCATTCTCTGTTGCTTCAACCTCTTCTTGGTCAGCCACTTCTCCTTTTTTGGTGGATCGATTTCGTGCATCTCGAACTTGGGTTTCCCTTGTGATATCACCAAATTCACCGACCCATGGCTCAAGTTTCTGAAAACCCATGATGCGTTTAGAGGATTTGGCAGAGGCAAGTGTTTGGTTGCAATGAAAATTGGTTCTTGGGTTGGAAAACCTGACCTGAATGACAGAAAATGTGGCAGGAAAATGGTGAACCCACATCAATCTTCCACAATCCAGAATCATCATTATATTGAAGAACAAATTTAACAGTACAGTGGGATTATACTATTGGCAGGAAAGAATTGAAAATTTTGAAAACCCATTAACATTTTCTCATAATTCAATTAAACGGTTTGATGGGTTGTGTTTGGATGCAGAGAAATTTGATGTTAAGGATAGCAGCAACAACCAACAACCATATAAAATGTGTTGCAGAGAGAGAGAGAGAGAGAGAGAGAGAGAGAGAGAGAGAACCTTAGAGAGTGAGGTTTGGAAGGCGACGATTTGAGAACCGAAGAAGCTCTGCGAACAGCAGCAGAAAACACAGCTCTTGCCATTTTACTGACAAATTTCCAGGGAGAGAGGGAGTGCAGAAGATTAAGGTTGCACGGTCTGGAACCGAACCGAGTCGAACCGCTTTGGACCGGACGGCTTACGATACGAGCTGCGATTCTGCAGGCCAAAGGTCCACCCAGATAACCACGTGTTAAAACCACAGCAGTTTAAAGTTGAATGTTGACTTTTTATGTCGTTCTCTATCCAATCCGATTTTGACACGTCATATTGAATTGAGCCCCATATTTACAACCTGAACCCTCTCGCCTTCCTCCCTCCCACTCTCTCTCTCTCTCTCTCTGTGTGGCGTCGAGACTCAGAAACCAGGCGTTTCCATGTCCTTCACGATCAACTAACGGAAGGGTTTCGCGAATTTACAGTAAGTCTCTTATTTTTGTAATTTAATTTGATCTAAAAATTGTAAAAGTTTCTTGCTTTTTGTTTAGTTTATTTTAGGGTTTTTAATTTTTGATTAGTTTTCCGTTTGGTTGCTGAGAAAATGCGGGAATATTGTAGTGAGAAAAGATTTAAGATTCCGGATTGTTTTGCCTTGTTTTAATTAGCTATGGAATTAATTAGTGTTTGAATATTTGTATGTGAAAATAAATATGGGTTTTGGGGAAAGTTAGAGCACTGACTTTGTGGGAAGAGAGGAGAAGAAGTTTAATATTCAAATGTCATTAATCAATGGTTTGGACCATATTGATTAACTTAATCTTGTTCAAAGAACTTTGTTCGGTTGCTAATTGGTTCGGTTAATTTTGTGTTTTTTGCTTTTAGGTGGCCTAATTGGCATAGAAAAGAAGACTGGGGATAATACTTTATTTTTCTGTTTTTTGGTTTTAGAAATCAACCAAAGAATTGGGGTTTATCTCGGATGAGTTTTCGGTATAGGGGAAGTTTGACAAGAGTTCAAAAACACAAGTGGAGAAAATTTAGCTTAATTGTATTGGTAATGAGGAACTCGTAACTTTAGGAGTTATTTTCATGTCCTCATACTCACTCTTGGGAAATAATCAACAGTCATGTGTTAGCTCAAACCGGATCTCTACTTTTAGTTTGTACTTGCAGAATCCCTCATGGTAAGAATGAACCTTCCTCAGATTTGAAATTGTACTCTGATTGTTCCACAAATTTAAACCGCCCAAGTCTCAAACGGTTATTATCGGGTTGTTTTCTGAAGTTATTGTTGTTATCTGAACAGAAGATTCTGAAATGTCTTCAAATTTTTTTTTTGTTATATTTTGGAATCAATAAGTCTTTGCAAATATGTGTCTGCTGACAATCATATTTTGTGCTGACCATCTATTGTGTGGCGAAACTTATCGGAAAAATTCTTCTTATTGCAGTGGAATTTGCACTTGATGGTGATGTTGATGGCGAGGTGGTGGGGAGTTCTGCTGAGATGGAACTTAGTAGAGCAGCTGATGAAAATGAAACCGGCGGTAGTTCTGTTGAAGGGGCATTCCAGTTGGGCCTGGATGATAAAATAAATGTAGATTCTCCTGGAGGGGATATAATTCCAGAAGCAGTTCCTGTAGTATCGGTGGTTTCCGCAGATGAGCCATATGTTGGTCAAGAGTTTGAAACTGAAGCAGCTGCTCATGCATTTTATAATGCATATGCCACACATGTGGGATTCATAATTCGTGTAAGCAAGCTCTCTCGATCAAGGCGTGATGGATCTGCCATTGGTCGTGCACTTGTTTGTAACAAAGAGGGTTATAGAATGCCTGACAAACGTGAAAAAATTGTAAGGCAAAGAGCCGAGACCAGGGTTGGTTGCAGAGCAATGATTTTGGTGAGGAAAGTAACTTCTGGGAAATGGGTTGTCACAAAATTTGTAAAGGAGCACACTCATACTTTGACACCTGGGAAAGGTCGAAGGGATTGCATTTATGATCAATATCCGGTTAGTTGTTTTTCTCCTTTTTTGACCATTAGTGTTTGGCTTTTTACATTGTTAAATTTTCTTCTCCCTTGCGAAGTTCTAAAGTTTGTTAAGAGTGATAGGTCTTTTACAAATAATGGGGGTGGTATGTTACAATCTGTAGTCATGAATATCTTCTTTTCTATTACCATGGGAGTAGAGTAAATGACTATCATTATGTTTGGGATTTGAAGTAGAGTAAATAGTGTAATCATATTCAGTATCCGGTTAGGCACATTTTAGCAACCTAAGATAAACGAAAAGTCAAAACTCAAGCGGTACTAGACAACCTCACACATGTTATGCATGTGAGAAATTCAATTTTTGAGGAGGAGAGAGAGAAAGGGAGTGGTGATAGTTATTGCACGGGAAGAGAGAGTGCTGAGAAACTTATGGAGAATTGTATTTTGTTAAAATAAATTCTAAGTACTCCTTTTAAAAATTATCCTGATTACTTTTGTTTTCTCTTCATCTAGTAAGGGTTAAAGTTGGCAAATCAGGGACATAGGAGGTATTATATGTAAATGTTGACAGCGGCTCTTCTCATAATAAAAGTCTATAAATATAAGTCAAAACAAACAATTTTTGCATCTAATGTTGGCGATATTAGCAACCCAAATTTACTTGGCAGATATGCAGCCATCTGTACTGTATGATATCGGATGCTAGGTAATGAAGTTAGTAATGATTAAATTTTACAAATATGGAGGCTACAGTGGCTAGAAGTTGGCCAAAAGTAATGTGAGTGGAAGATGTCAAAAGCAAAGGCAGGATTTATTAAAAAAAGGAAAAAAAGTGGTTTCGGAATAGATCAGACTCAAATATCTTGTAAACTCTGGCTTTTTGGTTCGATGTTCATCTGAAACAGTTTTTAGTCTCCCTTCCATTTTTGATGAAATGTTATTCACATGGTATTTAATGTTAGGCAAGCGACTGTTGAATTCTTTTTCTGTTTGGGCTTTTTTTGACATGCGGCAGCTAGTGTCTATACACACTACAGTCACCCAAAATTAGACGTGGTTGTAGAATTTTTGGAATGTAGCTCTTTTATTCTTCCTTGAGGGCGAGCCTTGGCGCAATGGAAAGGTTGCTCCTTTGTGACTGAAAGGTCACAGGTTCGAGTTGTGGAAACAACCTCTTTTCAAAAGCAATGATAAGGCTGCGTACGATAGAGATCCATTTCCGCAATGGTGGTGATTTTGTTTCTCCAACATGCCATTAGATCCTTGAATGTGTAAATGTCTTCGAGATGATTTGCAATTGCCTTCTAGAATGTAATTATGCGATATCATTGTTGTTTCTGTCTGCCGTGCTTTTATGTGTAGGTTATGGCTTTCGGTTTTCATTGTTGTCTCCTGTGTTGTATTTGAGTCCTAAGCTCATAGTTGTCCATTTCCACAATGAGTACTCGAGATGATTTGCGCTTGCTTTCTAGGATGTTTAATATGTTATATCATTGTTGTTTCTGTCCACCATGCTTGTATGTGTAGGTTATGGCTTTCGGTTTTCACTGTTGCCTCCTGTGTTGTATGGTGAAGAGTGAAAACCATGCAGTTTTTCTTAGTTACCATGGTTAGCAGCTAGATCATTAAAACAAGGTTCTAGCCTATTAAAGTATTGTAGTTGAAACATAAACATTTCCTAGTTTGACGGTTTTGTGCACGCAAAGAATGGACTATATATGCTTTTCACAAACGAATACATTACATGTGGGAGTTATGTTCTTTCTCTACAGACTTACTTGTGACTAATCCAGACATTGAAATGGATTGATGCTGAAAATCATGACGAGAAAATGGAGATGCTATTTTTGGGAAAATTTTAATTGGGTTTGAATTTTTGAATCATAATAATACAGCTTGACGTGTATTTTAATTGCCTTTTGTTTTCTCGTTCAGAATGAGCATGACAAAATTCGGGAATTATCTCAGCAGTTGGCAATAGAGAAAAAGCGTGCTGCGACCTATAAAAGACATCTGGAACTAATTTTTGAGCACATTGAAGAACACAACGAGAGCCTATCAAAGAAGATCCAACACATAGTAGACAGTGTGAAGGAGATTGAAGGCAAAGAACTGCAAGGACACAGATAAGGATTGCTGCAACTTAAGCACCTCTCGTTTGGTAAAACATAGAATCAAGCAATGTCGTGGACAATGCTGCAGGATGAATTGTTCGGTCATTGTTTTGATTTTAGTGTTAGGGGTTCGCCCGGAATCTAGTTAGTTTCTAACTTTCTATAGCTTTGTGATGTTTTAGTCACTGGCATTCATTGGACTGCCTTGCGTAAATTTCTCGTCTGCATCAAATGGTCAGTAGGGAAAATGTTATTGAGCCCATGTACAGTTTTACCTGAGCCATCCATGTGAATTGTGCTTATAAAGCAGATTATAGGACGTCCGAAGGAAGTTGGAATCGAACCATCGCTTACACGTGAAATTTGATATGAGGTCTGTTTTGTATAGCTTCAGAACAGTGTATTCAATCCTCCTTTTAAATACAACTCTTGAGAATTTCCCTTTGCTGATGGTTGTGGTTTTTGTAAACTTGTGTTAAGACACTTGACGTATCAGGCTGTGTTTTCGGCACAGTGAAATTTTTTGCTGGAGACTGGAGGGGGGATTTTCCAAAACTCTGTACAATGAAACCACTTATAAGTTTTAGTTATTTATCAGGAGTTGTTGGTTACAATTGAAGTGAATCGATGTGACAGCCCGTCCCGAAATTTACCTTTGATGGCGTGGAGTGACGATTTTGCCCTTGGACATTAGTTGGTGTTTTGGGTGATTTGTTTTCTTTTGTTTTGGGTTGGCTGCCATCAGGACACACACACACACACCTAAACCAACCCATGGACCCTCCCTCTCTCTTCTCCCTCTTGGATTTTTCTGTAAATTTGTACAAGTTGTATGGACAACCTTTGATTTAGCCATTTTCTACACGGATCGAGACCTTGAAGGTGGATTTCATGTTCCTTGCAAGCTCCTGAGTACATCCATACCATTTTTAGAACTTGAAACCCTTAAAAACCTGAGATCCCAGTTCGAGGTACTGTTCATGCATACGTAAATACAAAGGTTTCAGAGGATTCTAAGGTTATAGTGAGCTTTAAGACACTTTCACGAAGCTCGGAGAAGCATTTTGGAAGAAATTGGACGTCAGGAAACTCGAGAATAGTGAGTTGTAGAGGTGATCGAAATATCGCGATATTCCATCGTTTTTGGGGCTTCAAACAGTTTTTCCCAGTTTCCGGTGACGGCGACGAAGTCCGGCAACTAGCCAGAGAAGAAAGGGGAATATTCAGTTAATCTTAACAGAATATTCATAACGGCAGCTAACGGCGTCAGTTGTTTCGCATACAGGTGAGATCTATCCTGAGAACGAGCGCAGTCACTCGAGGCTAGGGGGCTACGACCCTTCCATATACCAGTGAGTGGGTTTTTTCCTTTTATCGTATATATATATGACTGATAATTCCACAAACGTTTACAAATTGAATTTCATATAATTTATATTAATGCTTTGGAGGACTAGTGTGAACTACGAATGGCTTGATCCTTGTTTAGGGTACGTAGGCAGTCTAACGAGACGTTAGATGCAACCATTCAATAAACGAGACTAAATAATTAAGATGTGAAGAATCAAGAAATTAAGATGTGAGATTTAACCTTAGGTTTTGGTATAACTAATGTTGGTCATAAATTAAGATGTGAAGAATCAAGAAATTGAGTTAAGGAAAGGTAAGTAGTGATAGTTAATTTAAGTAGTGTCTATTTGAACTTATCACTGATGATTATTCTTGAAAGTAAATAGTTCGGGAGTGGGGTGTTACAGTTATGCATTTCATGCCATTTGTGTATATGTTTATATAGTTGGTAATATTATATATATTTGGAAGCACTACGAAATGTTTGGGTTTAGATAGTATCATGGCATATTCATACATATATTACTTGAATCTAATTATTGTGAATGCTTTGAAGTACCAAATGACGATGCGGACGCTCAAGTAAGATTCAGGTATGTACACTTTGATGGTAATGATGGTAGTAAGTACGATTGTATTGAGATATCTTAGAGCTCATAAACCTGCATCTCGGTGTTAGTGCTCCTGCTCGTGGCCAGGGCCTAACCTTCACGTGATCGTTCACCTTGGATCCAAGGTAGGTGCCAGCCTATCGTGCAGACCACTTTAGATGGTTCCGACTCGTAGGTGACTTGCGATACTTCGCACAGCCTTCACGTGATCGTATCACTTGAGCGTATTTATTTACACCCAGCTTGTCGTACATACCACTTTAGGTGGTTCCGACTTGTGTGCAGGATTTGGTTGATGAGCTATTGGCTAGCATATTATTAAGCTATTGGCTAGCATATTGTTGAGCTATTGGTTAGCATGTTGATGAGTTATTGGCTAGCATGTTATTGAGCTATTGACTAGCATTGATTGATGAGATACGGATAAGTCGTACATGTCACGATAGGTGACTCCGACTTATGTGTTAGTATTGATTGATGTGATATATGTACAGTTGTGCAGGTCACCATAGGTGATTCTGATTTGCATGTTATTATGGTTCATTAAGCACGTGATTATTTGTATTGCTACTGAGATGTTGGATAGTGGTATATTTCCGGGTTTACTATTAGTATACTTTTGATTCATACTCTTACGTAGTATGATTTGTTGGAAACTATATAGGTCTTACGGCGACGGGTTACTACCTTTGATAATGGAAAATGATTTTGAAAATCCTTGTTTCGATCACTCACTCACATTTTCTATTTATGCACCCCTCCAGGTACTAGCAATAGAGTTTCCTTATTGACAAAAATTTATGGCACTTCCCAGTACATGTGGCTTCTTTTGATGGTATAATCATTATCTTACCTTACTGTACTATACCTATGCTTTGTATCACGCGTGAAATGGGTCCAGAACCGCTCACCGCGCACTCTTGTACTTAGACACTTTAAGATTTTAATGTATTCACATTTTATACATTATCATACTTTATGACTTCGTCACCTTCCTGGTGTCGGCCAGCACGCCTCGATTTGGGGTCCTAATGTATATTCCAGGTGACACAATTGAACTCTTGATCCAATCTTGTCACTAGGAGTACGGTCTAATGGTAATTTTTAGATGGTAGCTTCCATTTTCGAGTCACTTGGATGACGAGTTGTATACATAATTTTTTGGTCAGAGAGTTGTATGAGGACCATGCATTGTGCATGTGCTTTGAACGGGGTGGAAGCCATGATTGAATTCTTATTACTCTCGCGAAATATGGTGTGAATGCCACACATATGTCGTGAAATATGATGTGAAAGCTACACATATGAATGCATAAAGAAGCAAATCAACATGCATCTAAAGTGAATTTTAGCGATACCAATTAAAGTTTTGGGTAGAGTAAGTCTTAGAAAGATGAAATGGTGAAATGGATGAGGACTTTCATTCATGCCATTTATTTTCTACGGGTGTAAGGCTCCTCTATATAAATGGAAATTTGTAATGTAAAGATCATCTATCCATCTCAAGTAAACAATTTGTGCCAACTTACTCTTTCCCTTGCACGACAAAAGAAGAAAAGCATAAAGATAATACTGATTTCTTTCACATTTCATCTTCTACGTCTATTGCACTTGTTTGACACTAACAAAAAAAAAAAGAAAGCAATATGATACATTGCTCATGTTCCGCTTCAAAAGTTCTATCTTTTGTCTATTTGTAACAATTACAATATTTTTTATCTTTTCTGCACCTTAAAGTAAGAATCCAAGTGACTTGGTGATTACTATACCCCAAAAAATATGATTACAAGAATAACTTACATTGATATAGAATGTTACACATGAAATAAAAATAAATAGATAAAAATTTATACATTTTTATTTTATTATCACATAATGTTATCGACATGGAAGTCATTTCTCTAAAATTACACCAACAAACTATGCCAATTGTCATAACCATTAAGTAATTAATGCGGATGAGATTATCATAACTCTTTATTTTGGTCATTGACATTTAAAATTGATATAAGTAGTCGTAAGATTGTTCACCGTCAATCGTTTTGACTTTCTGTGAAAAATCCCCGTTAAATTGAAGAAACCACGACTTTAAGGGAGATTTTGCTCATTTTGTGAAAAATCTTTGTTAAATTAGAAAAACTACTAGCTCAAGAGGAGGAGTTGATTTGACAAATATTCTCAATTTAACAGAGATTTCACATATAAGATCAAAATAATTGACAGTAGACAGTCTCATATACCACCCACTTTTAATAATTTTAAATCTCACAAATCAAAGTCAGAATTTGGATAAAAAAGCTTAAATTAAATAATTTATTATTAAAAAGAAAAGGGCTAGAGATTTTCCTCTCCGGATCATTTTGGTGAGGATTCTGGGAATCTGTAAATTGTGTTTGTTTATCGTACATCGTGCGATCAGTTTTTATCAAGTACTATTTGTGTTTAATTTTAAATAATTTTTGATTACATGATGTATGATGAACAAAATGTGATTTACGACTCCACGGAATCCTAGGATCCGGATTCGGAGATTTCAGCCGGTAAAGCGCCACGTGCATTTTATTTTAAAGTGTCTGCCTTCGAGTTTTTATCTGACGTGGTCTGTCTTCCCCAAAAGAAAAGAAACGATTTGAAGCATTTACGACTCCACGGAATTCTCACTCCCGACCGGAAAACGAAGATCTACTTCGCTTGCTTCTACTTAGCTTGCTCGAATCAAGTAAGTGCTCCGTTCCTGTCGACATTCCAACGAATACCCATTTCTTCTGCCTAGCCCTTCGTCGAAACCCTCCATTTATTTTGGCCTTTTATCCCCACTTTGTTCCCATTTCAGTCATGCAAGTTCATACCCCAGGACTCTGAATCCGGAGCAAACTTTGCTTAAATTTAATCGGTTTAAATTTTTTGGGTTTCTGTGTCTCTGTACTTCATAATTCGGATACTATTTTTTGCGTTTTTTTTGCACTGGGACTGAAGAATGTTAGCTTAGCTGCCTGCTGTTGTTCACTGTTAAATGGGTAAAATCTGTAGTTCTCTGTTCTCTTTTTTCTATGGGGTGTGGTAGGATCTATTTAGTTTACAGTGACTTTGTCAATTTGATTCGTTGTGAAATTATGCAGTAAATTGTATTTTGGGTTTTTTTTTATGTTGCTCACCACCTGTTTGATAAAATAAGAAACGGTATATTTTACTTGCCTATGATTATTGAATACAAGAAAATGAAGAAGCTTTTTTTGCGCGTAGTTCGGTAATATTTTGGGTTTTTTTTCGCAGAATCATGTTAACCTTAGGTGGGAAAGTTAAATTTTTTCCCATTTCATTATATTGCCTGTTCTACCAGCCCAAAAGATAATATTGTTATGATTTTGTTAGAGCTTAGAAGATATTTAACAGGCAATGTATTGCAGTGGATTCGGACGGGGATATAGCATTGGAGAGTTCTGATGCGCAGGAACTGATTGCATATGACGACGATTCCATTGTAGAACCATATGAGGGTATGGAATTCGAATCTGAAGATGCTGCCAAGATATTTTATGATGAGTATGCACGGCATGTTGGATTTGTCATGCGTGTGATGTCATGCCGTCGGTCTGAAAGAGATGGTAGGATTCTTGCTCGTCGACTTGGGTGTAATAAGGAGGGACACTGTGTTAGTATTCGAGGTAAATTTGGGCCGGTTCGAAAACCACGAGCAAGTACAAGGGAAGGTTGTAAGGCAATGATTCACGTAAAGTATGATAAATCCAGTAAATGGGTGATTACAAAATTCATAAAGGATCATAATCATCCACTAGTGGTGTCCCCACGTGAAGCTCGTCAAACCTTGGTGAGTATCTTTCTCATTTTGTTGACATTCTCGTGTAAATAGTTGAACTTTCAGTGTCTTCAAATCATTGATTTGCCAGGTGATGTATATTTTAAGATGTAAGATTTAGACTTTATACTCCTTTAAAAAACAGTTCTTGTATATTATATCCTTAGTGTACTTTCCGAAAAAAGGAAAACCATATATGTACTCCTGTTTGGGGTTAGTGCTGGTTTGTTGGTTCTTAAAGTCAACTTTTATTGCTTTTTAAGAAGACTAGTAGCAGTACCAAAAAATTGTTTTTGGGTATCATGAATTTCTAGTAAATTTTTTGTTAATGCCTTGCTCAAAGCATATATGTACTTAGAAATGAACAGTTCTCTTTAAAACATGAAGATAAGTAAACGCTGGTCAAATTATCCTTACTGACATTGAGAAAGCGAATCTAGGATTCTGCATAATCAGCAGAATTGGTTTATTTCATTTTATTTTATGTTTTATAAGACCATCTTGATGGAGGTGAAAATTTATTCAGGCAGCTCTACCGGCTGTGTACGGAAAGGCAAGTCGTAGATACAGTTCAGGACTAGGTCCTTTGTGTATTACCTTCGGAAACAAGTTATGGATGTGGCATTTTGATGTTGAATACTCCCAAATTAGATTGACAATTTCTGTACTATATGTGATATCGTTTAGAATCTCTAGATCCTTGGCATGAACTTCACCTTGTAAAGTTAGACAACCTGGTAGAAACTCAATATGTGAATTTTGAGCCTCATTTTTGTGGTAGTCTAGTGAGAGTAACTTCTGTTTTAACGTCTTACGACGCTCTTCTTCATGCTATGTCACGAACATAATTTAGTCTGGCCTTTTCCTTTTCATTCATTTACTTTTTCTATGAAGAATTTGTCCCACTTTCTATTTCTTGTCTCTTTTATACATAAATTAAGTAATTGAAATAATTTCACCAATCAAACTTTGTAGGAATAACAGATTTAAATCCAGATATCCCTGTTTTGTAATTAGTATGGCATATGGTTATACTGCTAGAAATCATGCTAATGACAGTGTGTACTGATTCTATGTGTTACAGAACCGTTCACACTACACAGGGTAGGATGTCATCTTATTAGGGCTTAAAGAAACTGAAATTTTTGTGCCGTCTTTTGTTTTGGAATATAAGACAGGGTCAAAAGCATGAACTGGTGGGTGATCTGATTTTGGAGTTATTGCAGTTGGATAAGATATAAATTTAAAAACTCAATTTCCTTCAAGCTCTGTGCGCCATTGTCCCATTTGCTTTAAAAATTCTCTTCTTCCATTATTGAACTGAACACTGGAAATGTTTAATGCAAATACACACAAAAAGACAATGTGTGCACTGCATGCACAGATGTCTATGTTTGGAGATGTATGCATCTTTCTGGTCATATAAACATATCTGTGCTTGTAATCATGTATGCTCTATGTTAAGTGATGATATGAAGTTGTAGGATATATGTCTTCCTAATTGACAGTTTGATATACTGTATGATCCTATTTTATTAACATTTCGTTTTTCGTGCATCAAGTATGATCTAAATCATGTCTCTTGTGTGACCGTGTCTTGTGTTTTGTTTGTAGGATGAGAAGGATAAGAAAATTCAAGAATTAACTGCAGAGCTTCGGAACAAGAAACGGCTGTGCACAACATATCAGGAACAGCTAACGGCATTTACTGAGATTGTTGAAGAGTATAATGAACAGCTATCCAAGAAAGTTCAAAATGTAAGGGGCAATATTGAAGAATTTGAGGCCATAGATCAGGAGCTTTCACAGCATAGATAGCCTTCAATTGAGAGTGAGTATATCAAAATTATGTAGGGTGTAGTTTGTTTCTATTTGTTCCTGATTTTATCAATTAGGTTGCTAGAACTGTTGGACACCATTTCTGCAGCGAAATTAAGGTTTTAGTAACGTCTGTTTTCCAATGCTAATAATTCAACAGTGTTGCAACTTGAATATTTCATTGCTTCCATAAGGTGTAGTGTTTGCTATCTTTTCCCTAATGATGATCTAAAACTGCGCCGAATAAAATTCCTCACTGTTTAATACATTTAGGGATCATTAGGGAAAAGATTAAATACATGAAATTTAAATTCAAGTATCATAGCTTGCAGTGTTCAAAACTTGGATCTCTCTCTTCGGTGAATATATGATTGATGAAGTTCCATTAGTGTTGATTGGTTCCGATTAATCTTGAATTGGTTCTGAGTTGAAAAATTAAAAGTACAATTTCCCCCTGATATGAATGCTGATGTAATACATGTCTCTTTTTAGTTCCCAAATTTCTTCAACGAGGACAATCAATGGCTGGCCCGTGAGGCTGCCCTTGTTGTTCCCTATGTTGCACGGGTACGAATACAAGATATGCAATACATATACGACAAGTCTCCAAAAACTAGGATATGGTGGCAAGGATACGATAATAAAATATATGTATATGTATGAATTGTTTCTTTATTCTTTATTTATGTTTTGTTGTGTTTCTTAGTGCCCTTAAATGTTATAATACACTCAGGTTCCTTTTTGGTTCTTTGTTTTGGAAAAGAAAAGAGTTCCAGTATATTTAGAATTTACCCTCACATACCTGGTTTTCGTTTTCTAAAAAGTTGCAGATTAGCCAAGTATTACTTTCAATACACTTGCATATTCAGGCCATATCTGTCAGGAGTCAGGACCCGTTATCCCACATTGGTAGAACTTACAAGCCAGTTTTGTAGTGCCAAGTTCTACACACGGGTTCTTAACGGTATTCAAAAGTCAAAGTACCCCAAAACATTAGTTGGATACAGATTAGGAACATTCATTCAGTTCCGAGGGCATATTTTTATCAGCCACTCCTTTCTTGAAATTGTAGCATCCGTGCTTCATAGGTTCCCTTGTTCAGCAAATAGGTTAAGTTTAACATAAAAACTTTGAACGGTAATTACGTTGATGTAATACTAATTATTTTGTGTTTGTTGTCGTATTGATATTAGACTGGCATGCTTAAATAATATTTTGACTTGTTGATTAGGTTCTTAATTTCCAACTTTTACAGCTTTGGCTGTAACGTGGAGTTATCAGCTTCTTTATTGGCATCTCTCTCTGCACAGATCTTTCATTTTGTTTCTAACTAATAACATTATTCCTATCGTGTTAATTTCTCTTATTGTTTCTCTTCAATTCCCTTCCTCTTATTTATTAGACGTTCAAGTTGTTTTATTCATTAGATGCAGGTGAGCTTACTAATTTATTGAGTGTGGTCGTGTTTTAATGTGATTAGAAATCAGACACTGACCGAGATCTATACAACTTGTGGTCTCGTGCTAATCATAGACAGCTTTTTCGGTGCAGGCTGCAGCCATGTGGGAAATCCAACTTATCCGGGACTATGCAGACATGCAATTACTGTTGGAGCTGCTTTATGTGGTGATGATGGTGACCAGTTCATGAGCTGCAATTGCGCTTAAATTTACTCGTTTTTGCGCAGCAACTTGAAAGCATTGCCACGGTCCGAGTGCATATTTTGAATGGTGCAGGATAATATCCGAGAGAGATACCAGATGCCTAACTTCGGTTACATGGAGCATCGGCATCCCAAAGTCTAGACAGAGCAATTGGTTTTGTGTCCATTTTGCAGGAATTTGGTAGCATTGTAGAGTTGTACAAACCGAATCCGCTTGTACATAATTTCGATACTAGAAGATAGATTTTTACTTCTCGTATGCTATTGCCATTACGTGGGAAAAGACTTTGTTGTTGTTGTGTATGCTATTGCCATTACGCTTTTGTGCACTCTGTCGAACATCTTTTGCTGCCAGCAGTTGAAGCTTCCTCGCTTGAACTTTTCTGGTTTTCGAGCGTGGGAGTTCTTTGAACACGCTTGGTAGGAAATACATTAATCATCTCTAACAAGTTGTGCTTCTTTTGTTCCCTACTAACTAGATCTCAATCGTTCGGGACTTGGACATTCTTCACCCGTCGAAATGATATTCCGAACCGATCACGTGCCATTTATAAGAACGAAGATATATTTATCGCACATTTTATGAATTGTTATTAAGATGCAGGCCGGAAAAAATAAGTGTGCTATCAATATATTAAACTCATACAGGATTCGCACTTTTATAGTTGGCCATAAAATTTGAGTTGATATCAATATATTGAACTCATGTTAGTGTAACACTAGTGTTATAGGTATCAAACTCAAACTGTATGATTCTTATATATAATACCATATAATACCATACTTACTTAAACTACTGTGAAAAACCCTCCAAAATATTAATTTACACTCAACATTTATTCCAGAAAAAATTGTACTGAGAGAATGAGATGATATTTTTGAACAGCGAATTACAACACTATTTTTCTTCTTCCAAGATAAAATATAATTTGGTTGTATGTTTGTTTTATTGGCCTTTTCGTCAAAATAGTCTTTGAACTTGACATAACTCATCATTTTGATCATGTCCATGAAAAATCGATAGAAGTGGATCATGAGCATGCCCATCATAAACTATTTTGGTATTTTTATGAAAAATTTGTCAATATCCCTACTAATTAATAAAACACTTATTATCAACCAAAATCCTATGAAATTACCAGTTTAACCCTCTAATTAAAACAGAACATGAATAAGAAATATGGGGCAGAAATGTAATTTCACAAGACTAAATTTTGCTGTGTTTTTTTTAAAACCTCACTTACATGTAATCCTAACATATCTCTAATTATTAAAAAAATAAAAAATGAAAAATAAAAAATAAAAAATAAAAAACTTCCCACTCCCACATTATCTATCACTCCCTTCCTCTCTCCTTCTATTTCAAAAATAAAAATAAAAAAATTTCTCACACACTTTGTGTATACCCATATGCTAATCTTTGTTAAGTAGAAGAGTTGGTTTGACAAAAATATCTTTAAAAAGATGGTCACGTAATCATTCATGTGATAGTTTAACGAAGATGTTAACAAATATTTCACTAAAGTACTAAAATAATTTACGATGAAAAGAATTAAGAACTACATGCACCGATTTTTATTGTCAAGTGACTAAAATGAAAAGTTACGCATTTCAACTAAAAATCCTTTTTAAATGTATATTCCGATGATTAACCACGTTTGCGGTTCTTCTTACATTTACACTTCACGCTCAAACAGTCTGAAAAGGTACAAAATTCGGAGGTGCCTTTTTTTTCTCCTCTTTCAAAATCTAAGCTCTCCTTCTCTTCTCTCCGACCACCACCTCCACCGGACTCCAAATCCAAATCGGAATCCTGTCGGGGTTCAAGTAAGTCCAACCCATCTCTCCGTTTCTCTGTTTTATATTTTACAGTAAATGGTATGACCTTTCTTTCTTCTTGTTGTGGTTTTTATCTGCTGTTATTCAGTATCCGCCATTGATGATATTGATACCCTCTGATTTATTGACTTTGTTTTGTGCGCAATTCTACTTGTTGAGCTCATTCAAGTTCCTATTTGTTTGTCGGCACACTGCGTTACCTGTATTTGTAATTGGTAATCGAAATTTGTGGGAGAAGAGAATAATGAGAAGAGAAATTAAGGCTGTCAATGTTTGGCCACATTTTCATGCCTCTCTCGAAGATCATAGAAACGCGAAATAACGTGGAATTGGGTGTTTTTGGTTATTTATTCTTAATTTTCTTCAAAAGATTTCTTAGATACAAATACGATTTATTTGCATATTCATCTATCCGCAAACTAAAGGGAACCGGTGAAGTCTTGAGTGCGCTGGCGTTCTTATTTCTGAGATTTTGAATAAGCTTGAGAGTCGATGGAGATATAGCTTAGCTTTTGTGTATTAGTGTTATTATAATCTTTTGTTTTGTGTTTGCTCGGTAAAGCATGTACATCCTATTAATTGCATCTCGCACATCTGTTCCACCATGTCTGTTTGAGATTTCATACCATTGCTCTCCGTATATAGCATAGCGTTGTCAAATAGAGGATAGTGAGGTTTGATAGTCTTTTGTCAGCGTGCGATGTTGCATTTGTTAATTGGTTGTCACATATTGATGTTGCTTAGAACACGCCGAGCATTGAAGGATGTCATTTGCTATATGTTAGCGCATATAGGGTTTAGATAGGGGCCACAGGGCTGAGTGGCAGATGCTTAAACGGACTTGTGTGGCCGAACTGTAGTTGTTTTGCATCAAGGATTTTGTGAGTAGACCACCTCTCAAAACACACCTCTCGTTGATAATACACATTAAAATCTATACCAATGCTGGATTGTTTTTTAAGATTTTATGTCTTAATCTTTCATTACCACATTCCTAAATCTTAAGCTTTCTTTGAGTGGAATTTATATGATTTGGTCATTTAATCATTTTCCTTTCAAATCTCAAGTTTTTGTATCCATTTGCAGAACTAAGCGGTCTGCTTAATAGCATGTTTGGCTTAGTGTATTTTATAACTTGATACGTTGTGCTACAGTGGAGGTGCAAATGGATGATTTGAATGGGACAGTCGAAACTTCTGCAGGAGGGGAATCAAACAATATTGAAGTTGGCCCATGTCAAGAACCATATGAGGGTATGCTTTTTGAATCAGAAGAAGCTGCCAAAGTATTCTATGATGATTATGCCAAGCGTGTTGGATTTGTGACCCGTGTTTTGTCATCCCGGAAGTCTGAGCGTGATGGGTCAATAATCTCTCGTGGACTTGGATGCAGAGGGATCTCTGAGAATCGTAGAAAAGTAATGCAGAAGGAGTGTGGAGAACAAGAAGTTTGTCCAGCCATGGTCTTGTTGAAACAAGAGATGCCTGGAAGATGGGTTATCAAGAAATTTTTGGGGGACCATAATCATCTGTTAGTGATTCAATCACCAAAGATCCGCAAAACACTTGTAAGCTTCTCTTACTTTGCATATTTTCTCATACGCAGGGCAATTTCTGTTAATGAGTTTTGTTTTTGTAGATACTAGGTAACCCTAAACTAACTGTTTAATGAATCGTGTCAAATAACTCGACAGTAACCAAACGTGTGAGCTAAAAACTAAAAAGATATATTTTCTTTGTTTCCAAACCAAATCTGATATATGCAATAGTTAAAAAACAAAAATCAACTTATCATGATACCCATGAAAGTATAATTATATTAATCCTAACAAATACAAAAGCACTAGTGGAAACATTATGTTCTTTTAAGTATAACAATATAACACAGAGGGAATATCCACATACCTTCTTGAAAAATTAAGTACAACAATATAACATGGAGGGAACATTCCCTAAACTCTGGAGATGTCGAAGCCACATACCTTGTCTATTGTCTACTAAACCCACAAGAACAACAGAATTTAGAAACTACAACAACCCAAATTCTTAATTCAGTATCTTAGGAGTATCTTGACCGTATCCTTGGAGTATTGAAGAAGTATCGGAAGGTATCGTGGGGGTGTAGGTATCCGATACTCACCCTTGTCCAAATTTGGAGTATCGGTGCAACATAGCTTGTAACTTATTTAAATGAAAAAGGAAGAATGACGTGAAAGTCAAAGTTGAAGGCTACCGTATTTCTTTGTTCCTCTTTCTTGCTATCAAACTACCTTCCTTCCTTTATTTGATAATGTTAGCTTATCTAGAACTATTCGATGTATCAGTTTAATGAGCTTTTTTGCTTTTAAGGATTAAATTGACTCCTTACATTTCCACTTTAATATGGAGAGCATACTTCTAAATGTTGAAAAGGAAAATTACAGATAATCTTAATATGTTCTGAAGCCTTACTGAGTCCCTGACCGCATTGGATTCAAGACGTATTTTTCTTCGTATGTAAAGTGTAATCCTGTACGTAACATTGAAAATTTCTAGGATGAGCTTAGCTTGGAATATTAACACCTTAATTTGTTATTCCTGAATGTGTTTTAATTATACCACGTTGATGCTCTCACAAAATATTCAACTCGTAAGCCTTTGATTATCAATGTATTTCTTTCCTTTCAGATGGTTCAAAAATTGCTTCTTGTGAAAGTTCGTACATTTGAACTGTCCAACTTATTAGTGTTCCATTGGCATTGGGGATTTTATAAATCTGTTGGGTTTTGGGAGATATCTTTTGTTTCCACATGCGGTTTCCTTTTCTTTCTTGGCTGTTTTCCTGCTCGAGATTAATATAGCATACACCGTATCTACTATTTTTCTCCACACTGTTCATTGATCATCGTTTTGCATATGTTACCAGGATGAGAAGGATAAAAAAATCCAGGAGTTATCTGCAGAGCTACGAGTTAAGAAGCGGTTAAGTGCAGCATATAGAGATCAGCTACTCGCCTTTATCAAGGATATTGAAGACCACAATGCGCACCTTTCAACAAAAGTTCAATCGGTTTCTAACAAGATAAAAGAGCTTGAAGCTAAAACAGGTGCTGTAACGCGATAGGTGATTTACAGTTGTTGTGTGAGTATGATTTCGTTTCTAGGAGGGCCTTAATTGTATTTCTCGAATGTCGAATCAGAAACTCCGGACTGAGGAAACTTGGAAATAGGATGCTTCTGAATCTTCTATCTTTCGAGTGTAAATATACCTCCATCATTTCCTTTGTGAATTTCTCTACATGCTGATCTCCTTCGGACCTCTTTAGAAAGTTCGTGAACCTTCTTATTTGGTGAGTCATGGTCCCGTGGACCTTGATTGCCTTTGGATTGGATATAAATTATTCCTCAGACCTTGATCCTTGCCAATTTAGATTTTTATTTTTATTTTTGAAGGAGAACAACTGGTGCCAATTTAGATTTTTGGCATGAGGATCTTCTTTAGGCCATCGCCCGAAGTTGTGACATTTGTATCCGAACAAGTTATTTGTGCACTTGCATAGATTGGTGCGGCCAAATGCCATCGATGAATTCACGTGACACATATAGAGTTTTATTATATGTACAAAATCAAAATGAGCCCAATGAGTGTTATTTTTGCTATTACTTTTAAACAAGGTTCTAAAAGACGTTAGGCGTTAGTCCGGCGGCAAGCTGGGGCCAGGCGGCTAGGCAGGGTCTAGGTGGATTTAACTAAATCTATTATATTTCGTGTAAATAAGTGTATGTGTATACTTAAAATATATATAATTTCATCATAAACTGCAAAATAGAATAACACATATATTATGAAGTATTGGAACATAATGAAAAACATGAGAAACAAGCGTATAATGTGTGCTCATTTAAGCATTCAACAAGTCTCTTACAATTTATTGAAAAAAAAATAAGATGCAAAATGAAAGTTATCTATTTTCTGCTCAAGTGAGTCGTAACCTAGGCGAGTCTGAGTAGGTAGGCAGATGCCTAGGTGGTCTAGGCATGCACCTTAGCAGGTCTAGGCATGCACCTTAGCAGGTCTAGGCGCTCATTTTTAATTTTCAAACGCATAGGCATTAATTGGGATCGTGGCCAGTCACCTAGGCGGCGCTAGACGGGGAATTTTAGAACAATGTTTTTCAGGGTGCGTTTGTTATACCGGATTTAACTCGTGCAAAGTATGATTTAATCAAAAATATAGTAAAGGCGTGTAAACGCAGTAATTTTGCTTATGTTGGTCGCAGCGCGTAAACAGAGTGTAGGCTACTTGTTTTGTTGTGAAAACTTTCCTCGGTTCCCAGTCGAAAAGCATCTTCCCTTACATCCCCAGCAACTGAGACTAGCTCCGCCTCCGCCTCCCTCAGCCTCCGAGTCCGGAGTCGTCGAGCTGGTCTTTCTGTTACCGTGTTCCGCCCTTCCAACGCTCTCCATCTCCTGCGGGACCCACCACTACCAGCGAGCCCCGCAAAATTGACCACTTGGGCTCGTGGAGCTGCCATGCGCAGATCGTTTTAGGACTTCCGCTTTCTTCAAACCTTTCGTCATTGGCGACTGTGAGTTTAAACGAAACCCTGTTTATTCTTTGTTCTTTGCTTTCCCTTGCTAAGTTTCTTATGATTAAGTAACTGTTGTAATTGATGCTTTTCGTATTTATAACTCCAGGGCTCAGGTTTATTTATTTTTAATGTTTAGATGCTGATTTGAAGAAAATTTGATGATTGTTTAAGCACAAACTGGCCGCATTCTTCGTAAAATTTCGCAACTTTTGGTGAAAACCCCATGATTTCTGTGTGTGTATTTATCAACTTTGATTGTTTTTAGGTGAAATCATGATGTTGAGCTTACATAAATAGTTAAATTAAGAGACCAATGTTGGACTGTTAGTTCAAAATGTGTTTTGTTTTAATCTTGACCATATGAAGAGATATAACGGCTCATGTTATTTGGTTCGACAATTGGATTGTTATTTAGAGTATCCTATGTTTTTCTAATTTTTGTTTTTGGACATTCAGCGTTCGAATTTAATGTAAGAAAAATGATTTGCAAAATGCCCTTTGGGTCTGTATATCAGTTGGTTCTTGTCTGTCTTTATAAGTCTGACTACTTTCATACTGTCTGCGGAATTGTGTAATTGAACTCTAAGTCTAACTACATTTTTTGTGGGGGATAGACTGCCATTATACTATAAATTTTGTAAAGTAATAGGTAACCAAACATTAGAAAGACTCGAAAACTGGTGCAATAGGAAGAAAAAGTGCCTCTTTCAAGAGATGCAATTTGTTAATTTGAAAATTTGGTTGGTCAAAGTTGCACACCAATGGCCTTATTCCTAAGATTCTTGCTTTCTCTGCAAGGAAGCGATTCTCTTTTAAATGCCCTATTGAGAAACTTCCCTCTTGAAGGTACGTTGTCCTCCATGTTGTGCTTGAAAAAGTATTGTGCTTTAAGTTAGTCTATAATCTTTGTCTCATGCAACAATAAACCTGGTCGTGGTTTATTTTTTGTGAGAAACCTTCTCCTAGTTATCAATCTACTTTTATCTGCTTCACCCATCATCGGAGAGAATCTGGAATCTGAAGAGAAATTAATGTCACATTTGAGTTCTCTTAGTTATGAATCCTCCATTACTTGTAGGGAATATAGCTATCTTAATACAATGGACAAAGGTTGAGTCACGCCTCTTGGGCACTCCAATACCTGGAAACCGTTCTCGATGCTTAGAACATTATATTGACTAAAGTCTTATGTACCTCATGTTTTCAAGATGGTTCTTCAGCGTTATTTTAGGTCCTATTCTGTATTATCATGAAGCTTAATATTCCTTATGCTATACGTAACCATACATGTGAAAACTTTTGTTGTTTATGATGAATATTAAACTGCTTGCCACAACCAAACTTACATCAGCAGTATATTATTTATTTGGTCGATGATCTCTCATTGCCTTGAAAATTTAATGAAGCATTAATCTGTTCCAGCCTTCCAGGATAGATTTAATGGCGCCTAATGAAAGACAACTAGGTAACTTTAATGGCGCCGTGTGTTCCAGTTATTTATTAGTGCTTGTTTATTTGCCTTTGTTTATTTATGTTCTGCAATGTGGAAAGTATAACATAAGTCATTTAAGCATTGCTTTTGTGAACCCTCGGTTCTTATGCTTTTCTTCTCCCTCAGACTCTGTTCTTTCTAAGAAAAGGTAATGGGGCATATGCAAGTGCAGTGTTGACAATACAGAGGTTTTTGGAACTCAAAAATCTGCTGACAAGTAAATCACTTGGAGTAGAAGTTGACCTTCTATTTTGTCGTTGTTTATGTGTCCAATTTTGGGGTGAAAATGATTAGTCAATTCTGTTGTTTCTTCTTGTAGGAACTTAATGGATCACCAATCTATTCATGGATTTGATTCAGATGAGAGTGACCTAGATATGCATGCCGAAACCTATGAACATAATGAAGGGATAGAAGATGTGCTTCCTGAGAATTTGGACTTGTGTGTAGATGAAAAAGAGGAGACAGAAGAACAATCGGCTGATCTACCTATGAACGTAGAAGCTTTAGAACCGTATATAGGCATGGAGTTCAACTCAAGAGATGAAGCTAGAGAATTTTATGTTGCATATGGCAGACGCTCTGGTTTCACCGTACGGATACACCACAATCGTCGTTCACGAGTAAATAATCAGATTATTGGTCAAGATTTTGTTTGCTCAAAAGAAGGCTTTCGAGCAAAAAAGTATGTGCACAGAAAAGACAGAGTTCTTCCTCCACCCCCAGTAACCCGTGAGGGCTGTCAAGCTATGATAAGGCTAGCTCAAAGAGATGGACCGAAGTGGGTAGTCACAAAATTTGTTAAAGAGCATAATCACAAGCTAATGAGTCCCAGCAAGGTTCCATGGCGGGGATCAGGAAAGCACTTAGCAAGTGAGGTACGTTGGGGAGTATTTTTTGACATAATTCTGAATGAAATGTTTGCATAAGAAGATTTGTCGCCAACTCACTGTTGCTAAATACTGTGTTCAATGATAATGTTGAAGAAGACTAAACAGATTACCTAATAATATTTCTTTTTAAAATCACGGATTTGCTTTTAGATTAATGAAATGGTTGTTAATCGTTGTCCTAATAGTTTAAGCTTTGGGAAGAAGTTGTCATCGAACAAAACTAGTGAGGAGAGACCCACGCACAAAGTGAAGTGCTGGATTTTAAAAGAATTGTTAATTGACAACATGCTAATAGATTAAACTTTGGGGTTTTTGTTAAACCAATAAAACTCTCAATTAGAGCGGTTAAAATGCTAATCCATGCTTTCAACTGTGGAAGAGCTGTGCGGATTGTTACCAGGCACTTGTGCAAGCCTGTTATCGTCTAACATTAGCCGTTAAGTTGAAGCTAAACATTCCTTGGTCTTTATATGAAAGCCGTTGTTTAGTAAACATGCAAAATGATTCATTAATCTTTACATATTGATGTCTCCAACTTATGTCCTCCTATGTTAATTCCAACTAGGTTAACAGAAGCTCATCTATACCTGTGTCGATCAACCAACTGCCTAGGTACGGTTTATTTGTCGATCAACCAACGTGGAAGGATATTCAGGAGACTTCACAGACACATATTATTGACATAGCAAAAACTAAAGCACCCATAAGTGTTGCTAGTATAACACAGATTAAAAAAATTACTCTTAATAATGGCGCCGATTAATTTCTACGATCCCTGGTTTAGCATCTTAAGTTTTACAATGATGTAGTGATATGTCGTATGAAAATCAATGATGTAGTTACCTAATATTCTTCTAATTTTCAGGATGAGAAGGATAAAAGAATCCGAGAGCTGTCCCTTGAGCTGTACAACGAGAGGCAAAAATGTAAGCGACGTTGTGCTGCATATGAAGAACAGATAAATATGATCTTGAAGGATTTGGAAAAACACACAGAGCACATGTCAAAAAAAGTTTCGGATACAGTTCAGAGCATAAAAGAAATTGAGGAGGAACAATCAGAGGACTCGGATAGCGGATGGAGTTAATGCAACTTGTACCTTTTCTTGCCCCTTGCTTTGCCTTTGATGATGAGCAACCTATTTTATCAGTTTTTGGAGTTATGTAACTGCTAATTCACCTATGGTGTCGGTCGAGGTTGCCACAGAGGACAAATTAAGTCCACAAAATGACTGTCTTTCAGAAAATATGGTGGCAGCTGAAGTTTGGTGTCTGGATCAAGGTGCTCATCCTCGGTGAAGGTTTTATGAGCAAATCGGGAAAATACTCGATAAAATGTTAGAACTCATATGTTCAAAGTGTTCCGGGTCATTCTCTTGTTGAATCGTAATGTAGTTTTGTTTTCCTCTCTTATCAAATTTGAAATGTTACTGTAATTTTTGTTTTGTTGGTGGACTAAATATGCACCCCTAGGAATTGGTAAGCATTTCTGTCCAGGCCTCCGGCGTTGTCAAGCCTTCTTCCGTACTAACCTTCCCGCAGAGAGAGTGGAGCCTTAGTTACCCGCAGGTCATAAGCCGGTGACCAGTGGAAGAGCAAGAACTTTCAGGTGAAAGACCCTCACTCGAACTCAGTAGGAAGCCAAGCACGCACGAAAGAAGCTTCCTGAGCCGCTGGCTTTACCTTCTTTGTGGCGAGGCGCTATATTCATCCTTGTAATAAGTACCTATAGTTGGAATTCAAAAATTTTCTAAGCAGCCAAACAGATAATATTAAGGGAATGAGGATCTTCTCCGGGTCCTTTTTGTGAGGATCCTGGGGATCCTTTATCTTGTTTGTTAATCGTATATCGTGCGACTGGTTTTTATCAGGTATTGTTTGTGTTCAATTTTAAATGAAAAAATTTAAAATGATTTCTGATAACACGATGTACGATAAATGAACACGAATAAAGGATCCCGGGATCCTCTTTGGCTTCTCATTCACATTAGGGAATCCTTCATGGTCCAAATTACACAAATACATATTGTAAAACAGACAACCTGAGTTTCATTTCTTGATGATCTAAAAACGTAACTCGAAAGGAAGAAAATTGACTCTTATAGAAATGATGCCCTCCAAAAGCACACAAATATATATTGCATATTTCCGTGTCCATGTCCATGCATTGTAGATACAGACTCACTCGTAAAAAATTCCGATAAATTGAAATATAATTCTAGCTTTATAAAAAATTCATAACACAATTAATGACATCTTTTTTGAACAAACAATATTATCTACTTTAAAAAAATGGATGGGCTTAGTCTTACAATGAACTAACAATAATGTGGTTCAAATTCGTTTTTTGACGAGAATCGAATCTAAGACTTCTCACTTAAAAATAATACCGGCAATTAATAACATTATTATCTCTTCACAAAACTAGAAAAATAAAAATCTCAAGCCATATGACTAATCAACATTCTCTCTCCACAAATACTCTCTCTCTCTCTCTCTCTCTCTCTCTCAAAACTGCAATCACCAAATCTGCAGCCTATAATGCAGCATTTGACTAGGTATTTAACTAACACTTACCCAATCACAAATCGGATTTCACAACATTTGCCTATAAATTAAACCACTCCGACTATTTGAAGCTTTAAACCAGAAACCGAACATTTGATTAACGGTGAAACCAGAGTGCGTATCTGTGTTGCTCATCCGAACTCCCTCTCAGGTACCTCTCTCTCTACCGTCCATGTGCGTGGAATTCATTTTATTATCGAGGTATCGACAATGTAGCCAGTAAATGCGATCTCAGTAAATGCATGTTAGCGTAGCCAAGTCCGTAATTTTCTACGTTCATTCTAAATTTGCATGGTTGAAATGACAAATAATAATTAATATGGTGTTTGTTCTTGTGATGGTAAAGGAAGGATATATCGATATAGAGACAGAGTGTAATGGCGGCGGGTAGGGTGCCGCATCCGCCACTGAAAGGGCCGAACGTGGTGAAGGAGATAGCAATGGGGATTGCGGTGGCGATAGTGGTGGCGATGCCGTGGAAAATGTACCAATGGGATTTGCAGAAGAGGACCAGGACTATGTATGAGTTGCTCGACAAAGGTGAAGCAACTGTTGTTGCTCAAGAATAAAATGTATATTCTCCGTCTTTCAAAAAAAATAAATGAATAACAAGAAGCAAGGTTTTTGACATATTCCCCCCTGAATTTTTTTGGTTTTTCCCACTATGAGCACTAAATTGTTTTTGTGGCAAATTGGTCCTGTAAATTTTGCATGTCTCTTTCCGTTGAAAGTCGACTTACATCCTACAAAACTGGAACGAGTGTAACCGACTTATGTTAATTCACAAGTCGGGCACACTCGCTCGTATTGTTAATGTCATTTTGCTCAAAGCATATGAGTTACATCCTCAACTAACCCATTTTCTCATGTCAATTGCCTTTTAAGGTTACATCCCGCATAGAGACATGATTTCGGAAATTTGAAAATTGTAAAATGCAGAATGTGATGGCAATTTAAATGAGGATAATGTGAGTTATGCTTCAGAAAAAAATAGTTGAAGGAGAGGCCAAAGTCGATAATTTCGTTAGTTCAAGAGGCAAATTTGTGTAACTTGAATGTAGAACGTGGATTACTCATGAAGGAAACTTATCTCTTCCGATCTCCACAAATGATAGATTTGAAACAGATAAGCTCGTTCATGTTTAATCCCTTCTAATCCCCTCAAAGGAAAATTCATTCACCGCCACGGACATACATAACTCGAATTATGAGTTAATCCAATCCTAGTGCCAAAACGAGCCTCAATAGTAGAACGATAGAAAACTACAGCTTCCAAGTCAAGTAAGTCCCAGCTCCCAGGCATCGTTTGACAAGAACTTAAAAAAAAAAAAAAGCCATAAACATAGAGCATATCTCAAACGGATGCTCCTATTACACTCCGTAATCTTTGAAGGCTGGGAACCAACTATGTAGCATCTACATCGAGAATTCAAGTATTGTATACGCTATTAGTCCGATCCCTTGTAAGAACTACCGGTAATAACAAGCTTGCAAAATGAATCTCTTTATCAAACTTGCTAATGTAACTATAACAACTTCAAAAATTTAAAACATTAGGTGAACCGTGGACGGAACAAAAAGGGGCGGTTCTAACCCTACGCACAATAAACTCTTAAAAAAAATTATCTTCATTTATCACTTGAAACTAAAAGAATATTTGACGCAAAACCGAGCAGAATAGTGTTCAAGGATTCATATAGCCAATCTCACTTTTTTATCACTTAACTCAACGGTCACTAATCTAAGTGGATGAAAAAAAGAACGGGAAAAAAAGATGAAGAAATCAGTTCATTCCAGTATCACAGTAGCACCCAACTCCTTAAGCTTGTCAACAATGGGCCCTGCCTCCTCTTTCGTCATGCCCTTCTTCACCACAACAGGGACCTTCTCCACCAACTCCTTAGCCTCCTTCAGCCCCAAGTCTGTGAAAGTCCTAACCTCCTTTATGATCTTGATCTTTGCCGCTGCATCAAACTTCTCAATCTTTATATCAAATGCGGTCTTCTCAGCGACCTTGGCAGCCGTGGAGGCCGGCCCAGACTCAGAAGATGCGGGGCCAATCCCTGAGACTGCCGGGCCATACCGGTTGAGGCCCATTTTCAGCCTAAAGAGAATGGAGTAGTCGTGCCTCTCAAGCTTTGTGAGGTCGAGAAGCTCGTTGGCAATGCGCTCAAGTTTATGTGTTTGAGTCTCATTTGCGGCAGTTGCTGTGGTGAGGTTGCGAGAAACAGTAGCAGCCAATGTCAGGTACCTGCAGGGGTATTTTTGTGGTTAGGTTGGACAACCTGTGAACATCCGATTTCAAAAAGAGTTCGAATAGGGACCTGGATGCAGATAATTTTGCACATCCCAACTTACCCTGATCCTTGTTGAGTTGCAGTTCTGGCAGCTGAGCATTTTACAGCCTGCCATGTATGCAAATAAAAGTATTAAAAGGAAAGCTCAAAGAGTAACAGATAATTCCAAGTCCAATCACTTTTAAGATAGTTGAAAACAGCAAAATTTATGGATTCATGGAAAATGAACAAGTTCAACAAGTTCAGCCCTTAAGAAACTTTCACACTATCATGGCAAATTACACTAATACTCCAACTGGATTGGCAAACAAAAAAAATGTTGCCCTAACATATGAAAGGTTCAAAACAAATGGATGATGTGCCGCATTGAAAAATAGGTCCCAAATATAAGTTAATCAAAACTAAACTTTAGAAAATGATGAGGGTTGTACCCTAGCATGGATGGAGAAGCGTTGTAGTGAGCTCGCCATTGGCAGTTAACGAATCAACTGAAGGACCAAACATGCACCCTGTGGAAGCAAAATTGTCAGTAGATGTAGAACCGCAATCTAATGTGTGACAGTTTTGTCCAAAACAAATTGTAGTTAAATAAATCCTAGCCTTTAGTTTAGTTTTGGGTTATACCAAAATAGCCATAACTTCATTTTTTAGCAATAACTTGGATTTTATTAATTCAAGAGCCAAATAAATAGGCGACACAATTTCTAGGAGCTCAATTGTTGATAATTCATACGGGCAGATGTGGTAGCAGTAATTTGGTTCATCTTATTTCAAATACAAAATAGGCCAAAGAATCTTAAAAGAAGTATGATATACAAAGTTTCATTTTAAATTTGATCAAACCATGTTGATGCTTTACAAATGGTTGCTGATATACAGAAAAACAGCAGTAGTCAAAGAGAACCGCTGATCAAATGGGTCAGCAAACATGCGCAGGAACAACAGCCAGACAGCATGAAGATCCTTCGGAAATAGTTTCCATGTCTTCAAAAGTACAAACTGTTTTGCTTCTTCACAAGATCACTATTAAAGTAAATGTGCATTGCTAACTGTAGTTATACAGTCCACTGCCGAAGCAAATGAACAACTACGCTCTTGTTAACTTTTGATTAAGTCCAAATAACTTATTACATTTACGCTTGAAGGCTTATTGCACTTACACATGTCTTTAGGATCAACATACAGAAAAGTAACAATAAGTAAATAACTATTTAAAGATGAGAAAACCCGGAATAATTCCAAAAATTAACTGACCATGGCACGAGTCATGACAGAAAACATGAAGTACATAATCTCACTTCAGAGAATGCCTAAAAGTAAGAAGATAAATATGTATGCATACGCAGGCATACAGAGAAACAAAAAGTGCAGATGCACCAAAAACTATAAACAGAAGGGCTTACACCAAAAAGAATAACCAAAATCTAGACATTGAAAAGTAAGCTCAGATGGGTTGGTTAAAAAATTGTCTTTTAAGCCAAAATGGTCTCTGAGGTTGACATAACTCCTCACTTATGTCCCTAACAATTAAAATTGATAGACCGAATTTGTCCACCGTAAACCATTTTGGTCATTCCATAGAAATTTGTCAATATCCTCGTTAAGTGAAGGAGTTGGTTTGACAAAAATTCACTTCAAAAGGTGGTTATGTGGTCGTTCACGTGACAATTTAACGAAGATATTGACAGATTTTTCACGGAAATACCAAAATGATTTACGGGGGACAAACTCAAGGACCACTTCTATGAATTTTCATTGTCAGGAACCAACTTGAGGAGCTACGCCAATCTTAGGGACCACTTCTACCAATTTTTATTGTTAGGACCAAATTGAGGAGTTATGCCAATCTCAGGGACCATTTTGGCTAAAATGCTTAAAGCCCTTGAGGGAATGCCCAAGTTCATTTCTACACTCTTCTGCAAACATCAGACTCTAACGAGATGAGCCTACTGACCGACTCTAATCAGGTCACTAATAACAAGATCTACATTGCTGGATTACAGACAGAAGAAAACTATACTATTGCAGAGGTTGAAAACTGTGGTATAAAATCAAACCCAGCAACCAATCATCACCAGTGAAAAAACAAACAAAACCCAAGAACACATAATTGAGAAAAAAACATAAGGAGGTACTTGAATTGGTGAAAAAAGGAGTATGTATGAAATTGCCTACATAATAAAGCAAAAAACTGTCGAGAAATATTTGGTAGAATCCTTTTCTTCTCTGACCCTTGATTTGCTTTGGAAAAAAAAGTGGAAAGCTAGTAACTTTGGAGCAATGTTAAATCCCTCAATCCTTCTCTTTATTAAAATCCATGCCAAAACAATGACCCTCTCAAGGAATCTAATTTCTGTATAATTCAAGCATAAAACGTATGGAAAATTGTATAATTCAAGATGGGTAAAAAGGCCACTCCCCACCTCCCTCCCTCTACAAATTTCTCTAAACTAAAGCTTGCACTTTCATGGAGCACCCGAAAAAATCCCCAATCTGTATGACAAACGATAAGGCATTACCCAAAATTCCGGTTTAAGTTGACCAAATTGGAACCAGAGACATCGACACAACTTACAATCCTGAGAAGAACACATATTAGCATTGAATGAGATGAGAAAACAACTTACCCTGTTGAAATCTTAAGCAGTGGAATGAGCTTCCAGTGGCCGATTTGGGGCTGTCAGAGAGACCAAAGAAAGTTTATTTCTTCACGTTCAGGGTTTTCGGAAGTTGTGATTTCAGTCCTTTTGTTTTTGAAAATTCTTCCTTAGCACCAATAATTTCAATTGTCGCGGGTGAACCCCTATAATTTACTTTTAATAACTTTTTACAATTATAAAAAATAATGGCTTATTAACTTTTCTGCGTTTTAGGGGCACCATGTCAGCCCACTAACTTAATATTTAACGGAATTTGATGGTAAAATGGTTTTAGGATTTTTTTTTTTTTTTTTGTTGTTGTCAAATTTAGAAATTTAAAAAAAAAAAAATTAGTATTAGAGTGTAGTTTTATTTTTTAAGTGAGATCTTACATTTAAATTGACACACCCCAACCGAGGCCAGGGCATGCTGGCCGTCACGACCTCTGCTCGCCTGAGTACCGCGACCCTGCGTACCACGCCCCTGACTGGGCTGACCGGTCTGTCTCGAAGACCCTGCACTGCTAGTAGCAATCTCTCCTGGCTGAAACTGTCCTCCCTGATACCATTGAGAACCGCCGGCTGGAGCTGGAGGGTACAGCATATAACCACCCGAATATTGAGGGTAACCACCCTGGGAATAGGGGTCCTGAGGATACTGATACTGTCCCGGGGCATAAGGAACAGCATCACCCTGGTAGTGGTAGGCACCACCCCGACCTGCCTGTCCATAACTACTCAGACCCCTATTCCCAGGGTGGTTACCCTTAATATTCGGGTGGTTATATGCCGTACCCTCCAGCTCCAGCCGGCGGTTCTCAATGGTATCAGGGAGGACAGTTTCAGCCAGGAAAGATTGCTACTAGCAGTGCAGGGTCTTCGAGACAGACCGGTCAGCCCAGTCAAGGGCGTGGTACGCAGGGTCGCGGTACTCAGGCGAGCAGAGGTCGTGACGGCCAGCATGCCCTGGCCTCGGTTGGGGTGTGTCAGTTTGGTATCAGAGCCAGGTTAAATTTGCATGAATAGTACCCCAAACGGAGCTTGTGAACTTCGACGTGAAAGAGTAGTTATGGACAGGCAGGTCGGGGTGGTGCCTACCACTACCAGGGTGATGATGTTCCTTATGCCCCGGGACAATATCAGTATCCTCAGGACCCCTATTCCCAGGGTGGTTACCCTCAATATTCGGGTGGTTATATGCCGTACCCTCCAGCTCCAGCTGGCGGTTCTCAATGGTATCAGGGAGGACAGTTTCAGCCAGGAGAGATTGCTACTAGCAGTGCAGGGTCTTCGAGACAGACCGGTCAGCCCAGTCAGGGGCGTGGTACGCAGGGTCGCGGTACTCAGGCGAGCAGAGGTCGTGACGGCCAACATGCCCTGGCCTCGGTTGGGGTGTGTCATAAATCTCACTAAATATTATAGCTCATCTATTGTATGGTTTAACTTATGCCTTTATAATTATAAACAAAATTTATACAAATAAAACGGATTATAATGTAAAACTCAACATAAATATAATACGTCTTTGTTATCTATATAAGTAGGATACATTTGACGTACAAGTGAAAAAAAACAATAAAATACGAGATAATTAGAGTAATGATCTACAAACTTTAACGCAATTAAAATTGTCTTTGAACCAAAATTTGTAAGTAATTGGTCTATAAACTTATTATAATGTAAAACTGGAAGAAATTGTTTTTTTTTTTCCAGCTAACTCCATCAGATCCTTTTTTTTTATATCATTTTAAACCCTTTGTTTTACATAAAAAAAATCTAACGAAATTAGGCAAAATGACCAATATTTCATATTATAACAAATTAAAGATTAATAATCACAAATTTTTAGTTCAGCAACCAAAACTCATAAGTAAATTTGAAGAATTGCTCAAATGGGTAAAAACAAAACAACCGAAAACCCTGGTCTTTTATGAGGGCGCCCTCTGCGTTGGCAGCTGGAGACCAGAGGATGGCCAACATGGGAGAATGAGGTGAAATTAGCCCAAGAAAGTTAATTTTGCATGGCAAATTAAGCCAAAGGGGAAGGATTTCTGTGTCAATTCCAATTTCTTGAGGCTATTTTACTGCAAATTATGCCATTTTCCATCTCCTCGTCTCTCCAGTGGGAAATCGGATTGGGATTTCTGTGTGCAGTGCAGTTCTACTCTCTTCGTTTTGGCGAGTATATTTCTCAGTGTGCTGATTGCTCTATGATCTATATGATAAACTGGAAGTGAAATATTTAATTATTTTTTTTACAATGCTCTTATTATACAACAACAGAAAAGTTTTAGGGGTTGCTTAAAAAGTGATATGGAAATGATAGAAAACGCTTTAGAAAAAATATTTTTAGGTTTTAAAAATGCTGAACCACTAGTTAAGTGCTTTTGCAAGAAGCGTTTTAACTGTTTTTTTATTGACTTCATTTTTACTAAGGATTAGTTCCAAAACTATTTTCACAAAAATGTTTTTGACTATTTTAAAATATTTTTCAAACGAGCCCTTATTCATACCAAGTGGGATCAGTTATGAATTTTGTTTTTTTATTAGTGATTGATTTAATATAAAAAAATTCACCAAAACGCTTTCAACCGTTCTAAAAGCACTGCCAAATGAGCTCTTATTTCCACTAAGTGAATTCAGGTATGAATCATAGAACGCTATTGCGCTTAGTTTTGCATAATGCTCCCATGTTAACGTGACATTAATTTATTCAAACAAAGGCAAATTGCACATTACAAAGTCTACTCTTTGATAAAGTCTCTCTCTTTTCTTTATCGTTTGTATTTGTACAGCAGGTTACTATTGGGGCAAGGAGCAAATCTCCGTAGCTCATCCAAAAATGCTGCTTACAGGTATGAATTCTGATTAGTTTTAAGACATCATACAGTCTATATATAATCCTACGTGCTGTATCTTTATACTTGTTTATATGGACTTATGTCATGGTCTTGTCGATATTCATTCATACATAGAAATAGAATTCCTTGTTAAGACTAGTAACTTCTGATACATATGTGTTTGACTAGAATGATTTTTCTTCTTAACGTAACGTAGATGAATTTAATATTGAAAAGGAGAAATCGAGAGGGTTTGTCCTAAATATTAAATAAAGTTATTAAAGTGCATTGGTTAAGATTCAAAGTTTTAGATATTAGTTTTTCTTAAATTTTATGCTAGAAAATGTCAATGGTCATGAATTGTAAAAAAAGAAAACTCAGAGTAGCCATGTTATACATGATCTGACCCTCCAACAAGCTTTGGTCCCCCAAAACTTGCATGATTTTTCTTGATACCTTTATTTCTGTGTAAATATGGAATCCAAGCAAAAAGCATCATAACATGGAGATCATTGTGGTCTCCAAAACACTCCCCTCCCCCAAAATTTAAGTTCTCTCTTTCTGAGAGTCTTTCTTTTTTCTAAGAGTATTTCTCACCTCTTTGTGTGAGTTTTTCATCGTCGGTGTTTCTCCCTAGCCACTGGCCCGAGCTTAGGCAAGGGTCAGTGGCAGTCCTCTATTTCCTTCCTTTTTCTTCTTCCTTCTTCCTCCCTTATTCCGCTTCTCTCTTCCCCCCTCGGATTTCCTTCCACTTCCATGTCTCTCATCTCTCCCTCTTCCTTTGTTTTCCCAATTCCTTCTAGTCTCACTTCGGGTTGGTGTGTAGAGTTTTTACTCAGCTGTGTTTTCTTTGGAAGGTGTGTAGAGTTTTTACTCAGGTGTACACACCACCACCTTCCATTTGCTTGCCTTTATTGGCATTGTTGTCGGTGGATTTTCCACTGGCTTCTTTCTTTGACTAGTTGCGATTGGCATGTAGGTTGTTGCAAGTTGGAGGAATTTGGCTGCTTGCTACCGGTTCGAGGCGTTGGTTTGTTGATGCTCTATGGTGTTGGAGCACTGGTTTTCTTCACACCTGGGGTTTTGGTTGGTCTGTGTGTTGGATAGCTTGCGTTGGTGGCCTTCGACATTGCCGGCATCGGAGGGGACTGCAAGGTTCTAGGAAGTTCTGTGGCTTTGTCTATGTGTGTCCGGCGGCCCAAAATTTGTTTTGGGCTCTTTTGTGTGTACTGTTCAGGTGCATTGTTTTGTTTTGTACTTAAGTAGTTTGTGGACCTCTTTGTATGTTTGTTTAGCCTTGGGCCCTGAAATATAATGTTTAAGTTTTCCTCTAAAAATAAAAAATAAAAAAAACCCTTCCCCTCCCTCCCCCAGTTGACAAATAAAGCTAGTTATACATTCCTTGTGCGTGATCATGAAGACGTTTCCTATCACTTTGATATTTTTACCCCTTTGCTTTTTTTCTTCTTAATTTGGGCAATAAATTTTTAGTGTTGTAACGCTTACTCGCCAGTTATAATTTTTTACTCATTTTATCTGTATTTTTATTAAATATTTTGACAAATTAATGAGTAAGAAAATATGGCAAATAAATAGATGTAATAACAGTTATGACTCTTGGAAAAATAAAAAAAGTCGGTGTGTATGGTAGCACTCTTTTTTCATGAAGGCATGTCAAAAGAAAGATGACTCTCGTAGCCCCCACAAGCCACAAAAATATGGGTTTGCTTAACAAGTAAAAGAGAGAAGAACAAGAAGGGGATTGTTTTTTCCTTCTTATTATGCTTAATTGGAAGAACTCAGTTACCAGTTGCTGGAGTGTTCTATGATAATTAATTAAAAGCAAAAATTAACTAGCTAGCTTGACTGGACTATAGTGTGATTATTTAGGTAGAAATCCACAATCATGGCTTTTGAAAGCCCGCAAATATCTGTTAAACTTTGACAAATCTCAAATTCCTTAATTAATCAATCTAAATTGAACATATGCTAGAAGCACATTGGCTATGATTCTAAGATTATTAAAACATTATAGTATGTGGTTCAACATCTTAGTAAATCTAGTGTTAAATTTTCACCATACATCCTAGGTTCGAAACTTTTCTCGTCTCCTAAATTATTATAATAATTTCGAACATTCGACTCTCTCCTTAATAATAGCAAGAAAAAAAAGATTGAAACACTCATTGGACTTCCTAGGCAGACTTCCTGGGAAGACACCAATTTGTCTCTGGGCTTGATGCTTGGGCTTTGGGCAAGTCTCCCTTTAGTTGGTATTTCTGGGCTTTCACGCATTTGCAGCCCAATGTTCAAATATTAACCCAAACACATATATCGTCGAGACTGGCTGGATTTAAACAGAAGCTAATACAAAAATGTAACTATTTCAGCCATAGAACATCAAAAGTAGTTTCGGCAAAAAAAGTTGATGATAAATTTCACTGTTCAAAGCGCAAGATAGCTCTTTAGTCGGAATACTTTTACTACTACTAGGTCTACTAATCTCAATTCAAAAAGTAAAGTTAACTATGATCGGTATGATGAACGAAGAGAGAAATGATAGTAAAAAAAAAGGCGAGACAAGGGAGATCACATGACTTTCACAAAAATTATACTCGACCTGGCTCTTCTCTAGATCAACTTTACATGCAATACACATTGGTACATATATTATCTTTAGCAAATTATGTTGGCATATATAAGAGTCTAAAGAGTGAGATTAAGAAAAGAAACTTAGCCCAATCTCGTATACTGCTAGCTTCATCTTCATAATTTCATAAATGAGTCTCTAATTGCCTTCATTTTGTTGACAACAACATTCATATGCATCCGCTCTCCCGGGGATATTGCAGAGCATGCGAGTCCTATGTGCATCACTGAAACCAAACATTCCTCCAATTTTCTTCCTTGGACTCGGCCGCGGTCATGACGATTTGTAATAGGTTTTTCTTGTATCTCATTTCTGTATTTGTCATCATTAGCATCTGCATCTTCTCCTTCAATGAGCAATGAAGGGTCAACTATGTCCATGGCATGATCAGGCATCGCCAATTCTGTGAAATTGTGAATACTTATACCATCTCCAAGCATTTCATCGGTAGGTCTTTTTCCCGTGAACATTTCTAGCAACAGTATCCCAAAGCTATAAACATCTCCTAGTATGGTTACTTCGCCTCCCATGCCATACTCTGTCATCCATTACTCAAATTAAGATGTCAAGTCAAATGTTTAGAATTCAAATCTTATTTAAGAGTTCGCTGATGCTTCTTATCCAAAGAAAAGAGGTCTTTTTCCATTTTCTTTCATAATAATAGAGACTTAAGTGGGCTACTAATAAGTTTTTAGGAGAAAAAAAAAAATATTGAGAATCACAAAAACGCATACCTGGAGGAATGTAGCCAATGGAACCCCTTAGCCCAGCTGACATGGTTTGACTTTGAGAGGGGTTATCCGTCGCTTCCAAGAGGAACCTTGCTAAACCAAAGTCAGCAACATGAGCCACCATATCTTCATCAAGTAGAACATTACTTGGCTTTAGATCACAATGAACAATCGATGTATCGCAATGGTGGTGGAGGTAATCCAATGCTGAAGCAATATCAATTGCAATATTGAGTCTTTGTTTAAGGCTCAATCTCTTACTTTGATATTGCTTATCTATTGGATGCAGCCACGCATCAAGACTTCCATTTACCATGTACTCAAAAACTAAACTTTTGAAGTCATTGCCCTGATTGTCAATGCTTGAGCAGGCAGTTATGATCTTGAGAAGATTACGATGCCTAATACTTCTTAAAGCATTACATTCACTGATGAAACTCCTGGAAGCTCCTTCTTGTTGAAGGTTCAGTACCTTAACTGCAACTACAGTTCCATCACTAGGGATTATGCCTTTGTAAACTGAACCAAAACTTCCTGTACCAATAAGATTGTCCATGGAGAACCCATTAGTTGATTCAACAAGTTCCAAGTAAGAGACACCCATTTTCCAATCCTTATGGGAAGGCGAAGTTACAGGTTTACGTCTTGAACGAGCAACAATGAAGCATGACAGAGCAATTATGAATGCAAGCGCACAAGCTACAGGGATGACTACTTTCGGGGCAAGCAGTCCTCGAGATGAATGAGCCTTTGAGTTGGAGCATGGCGGTAGACTTAATTGTGGGATGCCACCACAAAGCCCACCATTTCCGAGAATTGAGAGACCACTTGCATTTAGAAAAATCCCTTCTTTAGGCAGTTCACCCTTGAAATTATTATTAGAAACGTTGAGATTCTTGAGAAATTTTAACTTGCCTATAAATTCAGGAAGCTGCCCAGAAAAATTATTGCTCGAAATATCCATCTCTTCCAAGCTTCTTAAACTTTTAAAAGATTCAGGAATTGTTCCTTCAAATTTGTTATGTGCCAAGCATAGGCGCTCCAACATAATACAATTGCCTAGGGCACTTGGAATATCACCTGATAACTGATTTCCTGATACATCTAGCTCCGCGAGATTGGCCAATTTACCTACTTGCTGTGGCAGTGCACCAGTTAAATGGTTGTTAGCCATGCCCAAATAGATTGAAAGGGACGAGAGCCCAATAAGCTCTCTAGGTATGGCTCCTGTTATGTTGTTACCAGAAAGATTAAGTACTAATAGAGTTTGGCAGTTTGCAAGAGTTGGAGGAATGCTTCCTTCAAAACTATTCTGGTGCATGTAGAGCCTTGTCAATGAAGTCAAGTTTCCAAGGGAGGATGGGATTCGACCCGAAAACATGCTATCGCTCAAATACAGTTCCCCTAACTTCTGAAGCTTTCCAATTTCATCGGGTAGATTACCACTCAAAAAGCTATCATCCGCTCCCAAAACAGTCAAGTTCATAAGATTTCCAATGCCGACAGGGATGCTTCCATGTATCACAGTGCCACCTACAGCAAGAATTTGAAGACTAGTAGAAAGGTTGGCTATGGATCTTGGCAATTCTCCTCCAAATTGATTATTGGAAATACCCAAAACCTCCAAGATAGTACAATTGGCCAAGGAGCTAAGAAAATTCAGGTCACCAGTTTTCCCACTTCCTAGTAAATTGCCAGCTAAGTTTAGTTTAACTAAGTTTTTCAAGTTCCCAAAACTTGCAGGGATTGTCCCAGTGAAGACATTGGTAGAAAAATCAATACCCGAAAGTCTAGAAGCATTTGACAAGGAGATAGGAAAATTACCAGTGAATTTGTTTGAATGACCGTAAAATACTTCAAGATTTGGAAGAGTAGTACCGACATTTGGAGGTAGCTTGCCTTGCAGTTGGTTTAGAGTGACTGCATACCTCCTTAAAGAAGAAATATTATAAATTGAAGGAGGGACCATACCAGACAAATTATTCTCGGAAAGCATCAGTACTTGCAAGCCTTTTAGACGACCAAGCTCATTTGGTATGCTTCCGTGAAAATTATTGCCGATAAGGACAATACTATACAAAGCAGAAAAGTTTCCTATCCATTTCGGGATGCTTCCTGTGAGATTGTTACTAGCAAGCAAAAGGTAAGTCAATTTCAACAGGGAACTGAATTCGTTCGGAATTGACCCGATAAGCTCATTGGAGCGCACATCGAGCACGCTTAGCTCTGTGCAGTGAGATATATTAGTTGGAAGCTTCCCTCTGAATGAATTTCCAGATAGGTTGAGATATTGAAGGCTTCGTAGACGACCCATTTCTTGAGGAATTTCACCATGGAAGTCGTTGTTTGTTAGGTTGATTCCTGTCAGGTAGGTGAGGTTTCCTATAGAAGCTGGTATAGAGCCTACCAGTTCTCGGGAGTTCAGTTTCAAAATCGAAACTCTTTTGGTGGAAGGGTTGCATGTAACTCCAACCCAACTGCAGAAATCAGTGGAATCGTTCCACGAGCCCATGACATTGAGAGGATCATGAGTTATCATGTCCTTGAAGTCTAGCAGTGCCAAACGATCAGTTTCATTTCCGAGCAGAATTGCGGCATCCACATGTCTGCTCATGCATAACAAAAGAACAAGCCCGCGAAAGAACGTAAACAAAATGAGCCTACCATGCGTACTACAGGAATGCTCCATGCTGTCTTTGAAGAATTACAGAGCAGATGAAAAAGCAGGGTTCAGGGCTTGAAAAAGCAGGGTTCAAGGCTTTTTAGGATTACATGCAAACTTGGCCTACAAATGTGAAAGGCAGAAATTCATGGTAAGTGATTAGGTAAGGAGTTGAATATTAGACCACAGCTCCTCCTGGGTCCTTCTGTCACGTTCAAGCTGGGTTGACTGTGACTAGTACTCACAATTTTTATACAATATGTTAATTTGACACGAAATCACACGAAAATAACAAGTTTTTGATCAACCCGTTAATGTGTCGGGTTGTTATTGGGCAGGGCTTAGCCCATGCCTAGTGCGGGCTGGCGACCGTTCAGGGCCCAAAAAAGCTGGGGCATCAAAATTATTAGAGTGGTATATTCGTATATGTTTTCATAAGAATATAAATTTATAAATTTAGTTAAAACTAGTGCTTAACACCCGCACGTTGCCATGGGTTTAAAGTTAAAGATAAGATGTTAAAAATGAAAAAATTTCAGTTACAAAATAGGAACAACGATATCAACAATGAATTTGGAAAAACGTTAACTGGAAAAGGTTAAATTTAGATAATATAAAGATACAAATTACAGTTATCCATTATATTGTAGCGGTTGTATGTATTTCTGGACCAGGAGGATTACATTCAGTTACAAAAAATAGAAATTCCTGGTATAAAGATACAAAAAACATTATAATAATTGAATTTCTTCTAATAACCCCATCTAATATACTGTGTTCCAGCTTTTGCATACAAAAAATGAGGAGATACAAAAAATATTGTTGAGTTTTGGGCAAAAAAAGATATGTACAGGTTGTTAAACATGATTTAATATAGATAAACAAAACACGGTAAACATTCTTGATCAGAGTAGTGAAAGGTGTCTTCAGCCCTTCTTGTCATTGATAAAGCAACCTGAACAAAGAGGAATAGAACAGAACATATTTAGATAGGATTTAATATCACATTTAAATGGTAATGGAGGAAAAGAATAAACAACTTGAAAGCATACTAACCTAATCATTCAAAAAGCAGAGCAAAACCAAAAAATAAAATAACCAAAGGCAAGGTGGAAGACAGCGGGGCTTCTCACAGTTTTCAATATTTGGTTTCCATGCATTCAAATTTTTTTATAATTTTTCATTGTATTATGTGCCACAAACCTCGATTAACTCATTTTTTAAAATATTTGTTGTCAGTTTTTTTTTATTATTTTATCTTTCTTTGTGTCTACACTCTACATTCAAATGTTTTTATAATATTTTATTGTATTCTGTGCCACAAACCATGTTCTGTGCCATCTACTGCAGGAGACTCGGCGTGTAAGACAAAAAGCCGAGCAAAATCAAACAAATAAAATAATCAAAAAGCAAAGCATTGGAGACAGGTGGGTGTCTCACCATTTTTAATAATTATTTTGTCCATGCATTCAATGTTCTTACAATTTTTTATTGTGTTGTGTGCCACAAACCATGTGGCCTAATTTAAGTCATATTTTTTTAATAATTTTTTGTCAGTTTTTTAATTAATTATTTTATCTTTCTTCGTACCACAACTCGACGATTATAAACACGTAACCTGACAGGACAAAGGATGATCAACACATGGCAATCATGGGCAATACAGGTGTTTTATTGTGTGAAGTAGGCATCAAAACGGTAATGGACAGAAAAATTCAGGGGCATTTCTGCCCTTTTACTATTTCTGAACAGTGCTAAAACTCAGTTGAGTTTTAGTATATACAATTAGCAAGAGTACCCGCGCGGTGCTACGGGTTTTCAAACTGTATAAAACATGTAGAAAGTTTTAAATGTATATATGATATGCCATGCTATTTACATACATGTGGAAAATGTACTTACAACACTATCTACAATAAGGAACAATGAGTAGGATTGGACTTCCCTAATCTGATGGGCTTGTTTTCATTTTGCTTAGCATCGTTGACTGAAATTATGAGAGAAATAGAAAAAGAATTTCAGAAATTGTTTATGAAGAAAACAAATTCAATCCATATTATATATAATAGATGATCTATTACCTATAAGGAAGAAGACTTGGTAAAACCATTTTACCACATCAGGAAACGTTTGTTTATGAGTTGTAATTCATTGCAACAAATTTATTTCCATCACCAATGCTTCGAACTTGAAGGATCTAAATTAAAAAAATAATAGCTATAAATGGGCATTCATCACTAAAAATGAAAATCATAGACCCTAAAACTTCCAACATGGTGAAAAATATAAACATTCTGAAATTGGAATAGAAATCAATTCTAAAAAGAATCTGAGCAAAGGGATTACGCTAAATGGAAACCGTAAACATAAATTGAAACAATTCTTATAGAATGATTCAGTCGAACTTACAACGTAGTGAGGAGTGCAATCTCGCTTCCAATTTGCTAAACCAAGACTACCTACATCAAATCAGAACAGTTTAATCCGTGAATAACTTATATTGGATGACGCTAAGCATGCATGCTTAAATTAGACAATGACTTGGAACATTTACTTAAAGCTCAAAAGTACATCACTTCAATTAAGAATATCTCGAGACTATCTCTAATCTTTGGTTGAACCATGACTTGGAACATGTCTAAAAAGCCCCGAATTTTAATTCGTCAAACAGGACAAAGAGCTTATAGCTCCAACTAGTAATCAAACTCTACTAAAATCAGCTAGGATAACTAAAATGAAAAAAAAACAAAAATATAGGAATTCCATATTAATTTTCCAATCCTACCACCAGTCTACAGGGTGTGCCGAAAGCTTGTGTCTCACCATGGCTCAGTCTTTGCTTTGTTAGTAACTTAGCCGTCAAATGTTTCAACTGCAATGATCAATTAGAACACGATCAGAGAAAAACCACATATGGAAAAGCATACTACTTTCAAAATGCTCATGGAATCCACAGTCAAAACTTTTCACTTTGCTTCTATCTGCAAGATACCAAAAGAATATTAACAATAAGGGGATGATAATAAATCTTATTAAAGAATGCACTGTATTCATTACCAAAGTGTTAACCTGGTGAAAGTATAAAATATTATGGATTTACACAGCTAAATTCTACACTTGTTAATTCCGAAATTTTTCGTTTTTTGGCATATCGAAACAAAAGTAAATGGCGTGATCTAATCAATTTGAAAAATCTCAGGAATTCACATATTATTACAAAACCAAATTCATTGTCAAGATTAAGAGCAACCGAATAACACAATAACAAAACGGAAAAAAAAAATTATAAATACCTTTGTCAAACCTCTTGGGATTCAAGTCGACTAACTCCACAACCATACTAAGTGGTGCCCCAGAAATTCTTGCAACTTTAGTAGCCTTGATCATGCATGTATCATTATAAATACATAAAAGAAGATAAATGCAATTTATTAGACTAAAGAACTTGGGATCAATAAACTTACTGCAAGGCCAATAAACAGTGACTAAAGATAATTTTTCGTGTTGCTACATTGAGAGGGGCACCCAAACCTGACATTAAAAAACAAAATATTTAGTATAACGTAAACAGTTCAATATGTAGTATCAGTTTAGGATGCATAATTCAAGGCTCTAAAACCTGCAAAATCACAGAAAAAAAATATCACATCTCATTGTAAAAAAGAAAGAACCGACTTAATCATAGTATAAAAGACATAAATACAAATACAACTTTAACACATGATGATATTTGATATACATAAATTTTTAAAAGGTGATACAAATACCAGAACATATATATGTACAAACAGTTATCAACATGATTAACAAAAATTTGTAAATTCTAAAGGTTACACTACTTGTTAGTCACTTACCCTTTATTTATTTATTTATTTTTTTTCAATTTGAGCAAAAGCACTATGTAGCTTATATAAATTGTTGTGCCAATAATCTGCAATAGATAACATAGTATAAATAAGTCATACAAAACAACAGCATTGTAATAATCCAATTTTTTATTTATTTAAAGCAATAATTATCAATACGATTAATAAAAATTTATAAATAGTAAACTTAACACTACTTGGTAAGTTGGCTAACCTTTTTTTTTTCAATTTCAGCAAAAGCACTTTGTACCTTATATAAATTGCTTTGATAATGATCTGCAATGGAAAATGCAATCACAAATGAGATGCACAAAACAGAAATAGTATTATAATGATCTTTCTTTTTTCGTTGAAAGCATTGCATAACTGGGAAAAGAAATGAAAACTTAAATTAAACCATCAAGAACCAAATGATCTAACACATTTTTGTTCTTCTTAAACTATAACAATACAGTATATCTACCACAAATAATCTGTAAAGAGAACTATTAAAATCTCTTGACCCCAATAAGCATCTTTTACCTTACAAAATTCTATGGATAAGTGACTTCTTTATACAACATTGCTATTCCGAATACCTAATCTCACACTTAACCTCAGGAGCTTGAAATTAAATTTTCCAAAGAGTAGGCAATGACATGATGATGGTAATATACTTTCTTATAAAACAAACCATATACAATCTACTTTTTGTCATATTCTAGAAATGAGTAAATTTTTAATTGCCTTCTCAAACACTATATCTATATTTGGGCAATCTGGGTAATTGAATCGCCTAAAAAAATAAATTCACTGAACAGGATTTCATAAAATAAAAAATAATAATAATAATAATTGAAAAAACTTATGCAGAGGTAAATTACAACAAGAACAAGGGCAGAGGTAAATTCAACTATAATACTAATTCTCGATTTGGGAATTCTAGAAATGTCTACAATACTTCTACTTCCGGTATTCTTGGTGCATCTCCATCATATTCAGCCTATCAAATATGTGGAAAATTTGGTCATCTTGCTGGTACATGTCGATTCAGAAATACTGATGATGTTGTAGTTGAAGGATGTCAGATTTATGGCAAGAAGAAATGCAAATATTTCTGGCACCACCCCTCAAATGACTGCAATGCATGTAAACTCCTCACCATCCACTCCAACATCAAATGCCTTTTCTCAGCAGTTCTGGCTTATAGATTCAGGAGCAACAAATCATCTCACTGCAGACTTGTAGAACCTTTCCTTGGCTAGGCCTTTCCCATCCACAGAGACCATTCAATTTTGCCAATGGTGCAGGTTCACCAATTTCACATATTGGTTCATCTGTCATTCATACACCTACTCAAAAATTGAAGCTTAATTAAGTGTTATATGTTCTAAGAATTACTCAAAATTTGTTATCTGTTCACATAATCTGTCTCTATAACAATTGTTGGCTAATTTTTTATGCTTTTAATTTCTGGATTCAGGACAAAGCCACAGCGAGGATTCTATACAAGGGGCAGTGCAGTAATGGGTTATATCCAATACCAATATCAAGACCAATTGTGCTTAAGCATCAAGGATTTAAAGCTGCATTTCTTGGACAACAAGTGCATTCCAGTTTCTGGCATTGCAGACTAGGTCACCCCTCTAATTCCATTGTCTCCACTATACTTAGAAAATCTAATATTCCAGTACCTTCTGATGTATTACCTTCTTTGTGTCATTCATGTTTACAAGGCAAGTTCAGCAAGTTACCATTTTCCCCATCTATGTCAAAATCTGTAATTCCTTTTGAAATAGTGCATAGTGATGTATGGGGTTCTGCTCCCTGTACCTCTATTGATGGATATAAATACTATGTGACATTCATTGATGAATGCACTAGATATTGTTGGCTATTTCCTTTGCATAATAAAAGTGAAGTATGTTATGTGTTTATTCGGTTATATCAGTTCATTTTCAATCACTTTGCAGTCTCTATTAAAACCTTACAGAGTGATAGGGGTGGGAAGTATACAAGTAATGTTTTTCAATCCTTCTTGATAGATAAATGAATCACTCATCAAATATCATGTCCTCATACTCCAGAGCAAAATGAACTGGCAGAAAGAAAACATAGACAAATTGTTGAAACCTCAATCACTTTGCCACATACTGCATCCCTACCTGCATTTTTCTGGTCTTTTGCTTGTCAAATTGCAATATACCTGATCAACAGGATGCCTTCATCAACTATAAATAACCAGTTCCCATTTGAGGCTCTTTTTCAATCTGTTCTAGATGTTCAACACCTGAGGATTTTTGGTTGTGCATGTTTCCCATTATTAAAGCCTTATACTAGTAACAAACTGCAACCTAAAACCAACATATGCATTTTTCTGGGATATGCATCTAAGTACAAGGGATATATTTGTTTTGAAGTTAGCTCAAACAGATCTTACATCTCGAGACACTTAAAATTTGATGAGTGTGATTTCCCATATTCCTCTCTTGTCCAAAAGTCATATATCCATTCACAGAGGTTTAGTTCTGAAATTCCAGTGAGTTCAATATCTGTTACTAGTAAAAATACAATTGTTGGAGCACCATCAAATCCTTTTGTGTCTAGTCCTAGTGCTACACCTAGCTATGCCAACGCCAGATTTCATAATTCCCCAAATACACTAGATCCATCTCAGCTAACATCAACAGAAGACACAAGACAACCCATTACTGGCACTTCACCTCATTGGACTTCCTCAGCCATCCCTGTGGTTTCTGAGTTTCAACGAGAAACTTTACAAGTAATTCTTCCTATCCCTCCATTGAATTTACACCCCATGCAAACATGATCAAAGAGTGGAATTGTGAAGAAGAAAGCATTACTTGCCATGGCCTCAGAGAATGCAGAAGTGGATTTATCTCAAATTGAACCAGTTTCTTACAAATCTGCTCTGAAATCTCCAGTATGGTTTAAAGCTATGGAGGAGGAAATACAAGCCTTACATTCTCAACAAACTTGGTTATTGGTTCCTTTATTATCAAACAGAAATCTTGTGGGGTGCAAGTGGGTCTTTAAGATCAAGAGGCATGCCAATGGAACTATTTCAAGATATAAGGCTAGGCTTGTGGCCAAGGGGTTCAATCAAAAGGCAGGTATAGATTATGGTGAAATATTCAGCCCTGTAGTTAAGCCTACTACAGTGAGACTTGTTCTCGCATTAGCTGCACAGTTTGGTTGGGGTTTAAGACAGCTTAATGTAAAAAATGCATTTTTGCATGGAATTTTGCAAGAAGAGGTATACATGGCACAACCTCCTGGTTTTGTGGATTCTATCTATTCATCATCAGTATGCAAACTTCACAAGTCTTTATATGGTCTCAAACAAGCCCCAAGGGCATGGAATGAGAGGTTTACTAATTTTTTGCCTTCTCTGAGGTTTCAAACAACTTATGCAGATACTTCATTGTTTGTCAAACACATTGATTCTGGGGTTGTCATCCTCCTCCTTTATGTGGATGATATAATCATCACAGGGAGTGCAACAACTATCATTCAAGAAGTCATTTCTGCATTGGCAACAGAATTTGATATCAAGCATCTGGGCTCACTTCACTATTTTCTTGGAATTCAAATTACACAAACTGCAGAAGGGTTATTTCTATCTCAGCATAAGTATGTTAATGATCTGTTGACAAAGACAGAAATGAATCAGTCAAAGCCTTGTGCTACTCCGTGCTTGCCTCATAATCGGCTTCTTAAGAATGATGGAACACCATTTGATAATCCTACATTGTACAGAAGCATCATGGGAGCATTACTATATCTCACTTTCACAAGACCTGACATTACATTTTTTGTGCATCAAGTTTGTCAATTCATGCATTGTCCCATGAAGTCACATTACTTGGCTGTCAAAAGGATATTACGATATCTTAAAGGGACTCAACATTATGGTATTCAATATGTGAAAGGAGAGTTGGAGTTGAATACATTTAGTGATGCTAACTAGGTAGGGGATCCCAATGACAGAAGATCCACAACTGGATTTGTTGTTTTCTTAGGGACCAATGCAATCTCGTGGTCATCCAAGAAGCAAAATACAGTATCTCACTCATCAACGGAAGCTAAGTATAGAGCAATTGCTACGACAGCTACTGAGATCGATTGGATAAAACAAATTCTTGCATTTCAGCAGATTGACATATCAACTCCATCAACAATGTTTTGTGACAATTTGTCAGCAATTGCTCTTACCTACAATCCAGTGATGCATCAAAGAACCAAACATATCGAGATTGACATGCATTTTGTTCGAGAAAGGGTTGCTAAACAATTACTTCACATGTAGTTTGTATCCTCTACTGAGCAATTTGCTGATATCCTGACAAATGGGCTGTCTGCACCATTGTTATGTGCTCATTGTTGCAATCTTAGGCTTCGTGATCCTCCTCCTGAGCTTGAAGGAGGATGTTAACAGTATATAATGAATGGTCAGATAGTGTGCCATGTGTCAATGGATTAGTAGGTTTGTTATAAGGAGGTTAAGGCTGTTATAAGGTGTCTTAGGTACCGTTTGGTACATGAGACGGGACAGAACAGAGTGGAATAAGGCATTCCGTCTCACGTTTGGGTGAATTTTCGTTCCACCTCACCCCCTGGAACGACTCGTTCCACATCCGTGGAACACAAAATTATAACCTCACCGTTTTCTTCTTCTTCCTCCTTGTTTCCATCCAAGAGCATCTTTACTCCCGCTCCGTTCCGTTCCGTCCTGTCTCGTCTCGTCCCATCCCATTCAGTTCCGTCCCGTCCCGTCCCGTCCTGTCTGCATACCAAACGATACCTTAGTGAACTAGCTAGAGTGGAGAATATATAACAAATGTAATGACTGTAATTCAATGAGATAGCAAATATTACAACAACTCATTTCTCTCTCTCTACATTTCTCTTCCTGATCTCTCCAAAACCTTCATCATCATTTCTGCATTATTACATTTCTGCAACATAATATGTTGCTTTACAGAAACTACGCATTTGATTATGACTTTGCAGGAAGGCTTTCCTATTTGAATATTACATGTTTACATAATTATCCTGATGACTTCTACAATGCGGTTAACTACACTTTCAGATAAACTATTGATCAACAATATCGTTGACAACAACTGTACGTTCGCAGTATCAATGAAACAAAAGGCATATCGATGCATGTTCGATCCAATGTGTTAAAACTCATAGAATCAAGGGGTTTGGATTCGATGGAGAGTCCAATCCAACGTGGTAAAAATTCATGACAACAATATACAGTAATTTCAATAACCAAATTACAAATACAATATGAAAATTCTCAAGCAAATAACGAGTTGGGAAAATAACAATCAATTGGTTTAATAAAATAAAATTCCACAAAGAATAAAACTCCCCAACTTCTAATCTATGCCCTCCTATTCGCCCCTCTCCCAAGATTTGTCCCACTGACATTACCTCCCTCGTTCCTAAAGACACCATCAACAACATACTTCCCAAACCTAAACCCAGAGCCCTCACCGGAGCCCCAACGTGCCGTCGTCCCTCGCAGCGGCCGCCATGGCCGTTGAGCCACGTACACCCTCGACGATTTGTACGTACCATGTATCCTACAACATAGTGATCACAATCGCCACTCATTTTTTTGTGTACTTTGTGAAAAATATCTACACATCCAATTAGGGAGACACATTTTTGTTAACTCAATGCACTAAACCCTCCTCCCTTCATCATTTGCCTGAATTCCTTGTAGTTGACCCTCCCATCTCCGTCCACATCCACCTTCATGATCATCCTCTTGCAGTCCTCTATAGTTCTCCCTTGCTTAAGCCCGAGGGACGACAAAACCGACCTCAACTCATCGACGGTTATGAACCCGTCTCCGTTTTGATCAAACACGTTGAATGCCTCCTTCATGTCCTCCTCCTCGTCGCGCTCGTCCATGATAGACTGGTACAACTCCCCGAACTCGTCAATGTCCACGCACCCGTCACCGTTCACGTCAATCTTTTCGATCATGTTGAAGAGCTCCTTGTCGGGGATGTAGATTCCCAAGTTCTCCAAGGAGTCGTTGAGCTCCTGCTTGGTAATCCGCCCGTCCCCATTGCGGTCAAACATCTGGAACACGCGTTTGAGCTCATTGGGGTCCATTCTGACGTGACAAGCACCGCCAGAAGGCAAGGGCAAGGGCAAAGACAACAACGACGGAGGTGGGGGTTGGGGTGACGGTGTTTTGGTGTCAAGAAGAGTGGTGTGATGGGGGAACCAGGAGGAGGGGAGGAGAGGCCTGAGATGCTTGGGGACCAAAGAGAGGAGGAATGTATTAAGAAGATTGTAAATAAGGAAAATCCTTCGGAAAATGGTTGGCATTTGGGAGGAGTTTAGGGTAACACCCTCTTTTTGTAGGGTGGTGGTTGCTCTTGCCTTAACCACTCTTTCTTCCAGTTTGTTGAGAAAACTTTGGAGACAATTTTAGGGTTTGGTGCGCACATTGGCCTCTAAATAGTGTGCCACTTTTACGCGTATTTTGAAAAAAATAAATATTATTAATTAATTTTAATTATTAATAATGATTAATTAGTGTACCAATTAATTTACAGTTTTCAAAAACGCGTTGTTATAATTGTCGTTTGTGACTTGGAGTGGGTGGGGAACCGATTTTGCTTACCTTTTTTTGTTTTTTGATTTAAAAATATGACCGTTGATTTAAAAAAGTGAACGTTGATAACGGATCTATTGGTTAAAGAGTTGGGAGAAAAAAGAAAGACGTTGGGGACTGCAACGCGGCAAAGGTTAGGGGCCGGCAAGGAAAAAATGACCGTTGGATTGGCTCTCCCAGCGTGGCGTTGTAGGTTTGATGACGCGTGGCGGAATTTAAGAGTAGAGACATTGGTTACATCTTTTTCGTTTCTTTGAAGCAAAGTCGTTGCGTAATGGAATAAGTCATTGTTGTTGTGGTAGCTTTTTGCTGAGGTTTGGTGTGAGATTCGATCAACTATGGAGACATTTATTTATTTTATTATGATCTAGTGATATTTATTTTCACTTATAAATGAGAGGTTTTAGGTTCGATTCTCGTAAAAAACGAATTTGAATCACATTATTGCTAGCATATTATGAGGCTTAGTCCACTATCTCTCTCTTAGTTCAAAAGAGAAGAAAAAAAAGAGAAATGGATATGATCTTATCATTTCCTTTTATTATAATTTCTAATTCTACTCAGTAAATAAAAAGTATTAAGCTAGATCTCATAGATAATGAGTTTTCTATCATTTTATTATTTTACTCTTGGTGTAAGTGTGCCTGTATGAAAAAAAGCTAATCGGAACTCTGATCATTCATCTATATGAGTTCCAGTGCTACACTGGAATTCATAGTGGTGGAGCATCATGATACGTTAACAACTCGTATGTTTCTATTTCATAATCTGTCAACCAATCATTTTTTAGGTTATCATTAAAAATAAAAGATTAGTGTTTAAATTATTTTTTGGAATGAACGCAAGTAAGTGGTAAGCACCGTACATTTTTATACAAGTTATTATCGTTTTACTAATAGAATTTTTGGGGTGGATTTGAGAACCGCATCACAATACCAAACCCAAACCCAATCCCGATTTGGCTTCCTGCTCCTCCCTCCACATGATCGGGAGCCGACGGAGACTTTTGCCATCCCTAGGTCACCGCATGGCTGGACTGGATAACTAGTTTATGTATGTATAGTACTAAAACATGTCGGCAGCAGTTTGTTTGTGCTCACATTTTGTGCAACATGTGATCAGATACTCCATTGTACATTAAAAAAATGAAAACTAATGAAAATGAATTGAAAACTTTAAGTTTTAACGATAAAGACAAAATAAAGGGTAAAGTGAATAGTCCCAGAATTGACTTTTTAGTGTAAAAATATGGTTTTTTGTTAAAGTGAACAGTACCATGAGCTTTTCATTAAAATTCCTTAAAAAAATCTAATTACCAGGTCTTAGTAGTAAACTCATCTGTTAAGTACAAGTTGACAAAGCCACTCGGACTCATAAGTTAATTCTAAGTCCGTACTCCACACAACTTGTTCCAAGCTCGATTTATAGCGCTGGTGAATCATACGATGATGGCCAGGAAAAGATTAAAATGCTCTATGAGTCTTCTCAGCCTCCAAAAAGGTTAAGTGCCATAACTTCATCACCAACTGGTCATTCTTATAAAAAAAAAAAAAATTAAAAAAAAGGCGCCACTCGGACTCGAATGGTCTTTTATAAAAGAATATATAAATAAAATCTCTATATATATTGAATGGTCTTTTTTAAAAGGATATATAAATAAAATGTGTATACATATTAAAAATAATTAAGATGCTCCATAACAGATACTCACAAAGTGCAGTTTTAGTCCAGCTGTTGATGAGCTGCTGTTTCTCTTTCAAGTGGGATAGCAAGTTAGCAACTGCCTTTAAATCAGATCTGGCCAGCCAGACCCTTCAATCACGCCCGTGCAACCGCCGCTAATGCCAAACGGGCAGTTGCCTCACGTCAACGCGCCAACTGTCTCGCCTGCATTTTTCTTCCTTTACACGTCCGTGTCTTGATACTATCTGATACAACAACTCTCCACATCCTCATACATCACGTTGCGTGCGATCACACTCAAGTCAAGTTCTCGGACAACAAATCAGGTGACCAAACGAATCCTTCAACATAACTTGAATATATTAAGTTAACCATACTAATCCAATTTTAGATACCAAACGAGTGCTTAGACTTTCTCCTCTTAATATATTAAACATGTTCGAGACTATCCCAACATGCTAATTATTGCTGTTAACATGTTGCTTTAAGAACAATAGACCAAACAATACTACTAACAGAGATATAATAACAAACAATTTAAATAAAGCCTAAATAGCAAAATAATGTTTTCTCCAATACAATCTTAATCTTTCAGGAAAATGCAGCAACAACAAAGTCAAAAGTTTTTCTGAAAAGGAGGATGCCAAAGGTCGTCTAATGCTAACAATTCTACAAATTAAGTGAGAAAAACAGGAAAAAAATGAAACCATATAACACGATGCTGACAATGCACGTTGTTCATAACATCAACTGACACGACAAGCACTGAACTCTTGAGTACAATTCATTGCCATCAAGTTGAAAAAATACATTTCATGTTGACGGGAAACCATGCTAGTGCAGTGTTCAGCCAAACGCTTCAATGAGAAAAGCCTTATAGATGCTCATGAACTTCGCCACGAATGCTGGCAAAATAAGATTGAAAGGAACTTCATTAGAGGCAACGCCAGCTCAATAGGCAACTTCATTTTGTCTAATGTGTCGTTACAAGCCCCCACAGGCATAGAGAAATTTATGTAAGCGTGTGCGTGTGTGAGGGAGGGAGAGAGATCATCAGACGCTAGAATCTATCAAAACTACCTTGATTCTGACCGTTGTAACGGAAAAGGGAGTCTGATATTTAATATACATGTAACCAATGCCATTATAACTGCTTGAAGGGCATATGCTAAAGGGGAAGCTGTAATTACAAACCTAAATGAATCCTGATGACCAAAAAAGTAACCTTGCGGGGAAAGTACAATAAAGTAGTCTCACTTGCAAATTGCCTCTATCTAAATTGGTAAGCAAACAAATATCTAGCAACAGTTTAGGTATATGTACTGAAAACTAAAAGCCTGTTCGTAGAGAGAAAAATGGAGATGGTGAGGAGAAAGAGCAAGGACATTACATGTATGAAGAAGAAAGGAAGAATAATACATAAAACTGCTTGTAATAATTGTAAATGGTTTTTAGTTCTAGGTTTATAATCATTTCGTCCATTTCAATCCTTTTTCTTTTCAAAACGAAAAATCAAAAAACACGAATACAAAAACAATATCGCACACGCTATAAAAAGCCAGCATCCAACATTACTCAGTGCTGCCTAATCTAATATATTTACCATGCACACATAAAATAGATGAAACCTTATATGCAATGAGATGTTTTCGCTATGTGAAGGTATTCTAATACCCTCTTTTTTTTTTTTTTTTTTTTTTTTCCAGTCAAGTATATTTCAAAAACACTTTTAACCCATTAATCCAAAGCAACCAACATAACGTGTATCGTTTCCTCGTTTGTACTTATCATAATCTCATGCTGCATCCAGAGAGATAGAAGTACCTTCAAGGTGAAATATTGCTTTCTGCCCAAGACGCATCCTGTGTTCCTGTAAACAAAAAAGAAATGCAATGTAAAGATAACTCTACGAGATTACAAAAGTGTAGACCCAGAGGACAATAAGATGCAAGGATATTCTCTGAAAAGCTTATGCGTCAACACATTAAGGCTTACACTACGCCTTGCGGAATATAAAGTATTATGATACAAATAATACATTGTGTTAATAAAAAATAAACCTGATAATTCCTTTTTATTGGTCTCACTAAGGCCTTCCATAGTAGGCCGGCAAAAGTGAGCATGATGCCAATATATTTGGGCTGGAAACCGAGTGTGTACCGATATATTGAACTCGTGAGTGTAATATTAGTATATTGAACTCTCACACTAGTGTAGCAGTAGTGTTACACTAGACGGTAGTAAACTTAGGTTGCCTGATTCCTGTATATAGCTATCCCATTCGTTCAAACTACTGTGGAAGGCCTAAGCCCAAATGCTCAAATCCATGATAATGTACGCCTTTTCAACAATACAGCCGAATTATAATTGCAATTGCATACACTTTGATCAAATAGCGTATGCTATTTGGGAACTTCACAAATCAACTACATGTAGAAAATTTTGAACGCCTCGCGAACAAACCCGGAAATTTCGCGCACTACGAAAACACTATTTAATACACTGATATATGTATAACCAACCACAACCTAGCTCCCAATACCGTACAATAACATCAGATGACGACCAGAAGAATCCACCAAATCAACCATGGATCATGGATATCCTAACTGCATTGTCTTCTTGGGATTTTATCATTTACCATAATATGTAAAGCGGGTGGGAAAGATTTTAAAAAATGAAGGAAAATGACTATTAGGACATTATGGTATGAAATACCAAATGTGTAAAACTTTATTAAATTGTGGACCAATTTGATGGCGTCAGCATGCTAAGCATAATTTTTGTGGTCGTGGTATGCTAACGTTGATTTGCAGCACAACAGATGCAAGCTCATAATAAGCAGAGATGGTCAATATAAACTTGATCTAACCACATTGTGCAAAAGGAACTCAAGTCGGAACCAAGGGTATGGAAAATGATTATACTTACGTAATATGCAGCCCAATGGCAGACCTCATGCTTCAGTTCTGCATCCAATTTCTTCAATAACTCATAAAGCAGCCTCTGAGAAAACAGAAAATATAACTTTCAAGTTAATTTGAGCAAAAACTGTGGAAATGAAAATAAGGGAACACTTGAAGATTATTCCGTGGGACTAAACTAAGAAGTAGCTCATAAAATTTTTGCCACACTTAATAAACCCTAGAACAATTGGAAAAAAAAAAAAAAAAAACCCCTAAAACAAATAAGGTAGGGCAACAAATTATAGAAAACCATAGTAAAGGAAAATATTTGTACCTTCAAGATGATCTCTGGAGGAATACAATTTAGAAGTAGCTCATACAGCTTCTGCCGCACCTGATAAAGCCTTAAGCAAACAGAATAATTTTTTTTATCAGAAAATTTTAGGAAAAAGTGGAAGATCCGAAATGAGAAGCCAGGAATCACCAACCCTACTTCATTAATCATGAATATAGCTACAAAAATATAAGGAAAAACTTCAGACATCCCATAATGAATTAAATACAGGATCTTCTAACAACATAACAAGAAAGAAATTTGTCAAATCCTTTCATATTAGATAATTGCATTACAGTAAACAAGGGCCTGCTGGTCTCCATTTTCACGCAATTACAAAATCTCCCTTGGTGGGAAAATAAAGTCTTTTTTAATAATCATGACCATAGATTCAAAATATCCAACACTTTCACATCATCTAGCTGAAAGAGCGAAAAATTTGAAAGATATCATGGGAGGTTAGATACAAAATTGGATGGCTGAATTATGAGGATGCATCAAAATTTGTCACATCTGGCTATGTGGAATCTATTCTGCTTCAATTCCAGAAAGAGAAACCACAAAAGCCAATTGAGACTGACAATCATCTAATGGCAGATTAACCATCCATGAAATGTTGCAAAGGAGGGGAAGATGGATGATTCATACATGCATCTAGATATCACAAAAGGTAAGGCATGTGATAAAGAAGAAGTTATTTTGTTGATCAAAAGAGTATTCCAAGAATAGTGCATCCAAGGTGGTACAGTAAGATACAAGAAAAAGGTTAATGGCAAAGTATAGCAACCGCAAGCAACAAAGAATAATAAAGTAACTCTTCACAAGAATTCACTGAATTTACATCATGATCTTCATTCATAAACCAAAGTCCAACTACTAGAAGATGCTAAAAGTGATTATCATAAAAATCTCATTACAAGCAAAGTAAATAAGTGACATGCATACCGTAAATCTGTGGGCCTCCACGGTGAGAGATCCAAGAATTAGAATGAGGAACATGAAAGGTGGCATGCTCTTAAAATGGCATGCAAAGAGGGTTCGAAGGTCCAATACCTAGTTTGGAAAATACTACATGATGATGGACCTTCTATGGATCTTGCATAAGAAGCTCATATTTAAGCTGCCAATGATTTTATTTCTTTTTAATTGAAGCAATAAACTTAGAGAGATGTAGCCAATACACAGCGGCTTTCTTTTTCCTTTCCTCCTTTAGGTAACTAATAAACAAAAAATACGAAAAAAGAGAGAAATTGGCTATTTGAAGCAACCCAATTAATGAAGCATCTACATAAGTTCAATTGGATATGTTGTGAAAGAAAAATGATGAATGAAAATAAACAATTAATGGGGGCAGCCTCTACTAGACAAATAGGCCAGCCAATGGCTTTCCACATTTTACAGTGTTTTCTTGAGTTCAATTTAACCATTGAACTAGAACAATTTCAAACTACAGATAAAATGCTGCAATATATGTCAATATTGTAAGAGCCAAACCTTTTTGGGCTCTGCTCCTTCATTATATCAGAGGCGATTTCAGAAACATATTCCTCCCAGTCCATTGGGGGTATTGATTGGTTACTTGTAAAGGGATACCTACAACCACATGAAAAGTACGGAAGACCCTAGCCATCAGAACCTGTGCTATTCCTGCAAGGTGCATAGGCGCATAGAAAGAAAAAAACTGCTTCACACAACGGATGACCAATTAGAACTCTGGCACTCAACTGTTGGACACGACAAGTTTCTATTGACAATATAGCTCTCCTTAAGCTCCTATTTGATTTTTCAGCTATACGAGCAGTGAATCCAGAAGGAAGTTGCAGCGCTTCCTTCTTTCCAATGAACTCCAATACCTTAACAATCTGGCACAAAAAGTTTCACATGAAACCATCGAATGAGACCTAAATTGACAGTGGAAGTCAACATACTTTATGACATCAAATTCTAAAATTTGTATCCTAGCAAATTTAACCTGGTCTTCTGTTGGCGCATTTATTCGCACATTTAAACACCGAGACCGGATTGCTTCAGTAACCTTTGAAGAACTGTTACAGCATAGTATTAGCCGGCAATAAGCACTATATTTCTCCATAGTTCTTCGAAGAGAATGCTGCGCTTCTCTTGAAAGCTTGTCAACTTCATTCAGCACTAAGACTGGCATTGCAAAGAGGACATGTTATCAGCACACAAATCTTAAAGACTGAAACACCAAATTTGTTGATCATCCAGCTGCATTTTCTTCGTTTTCTTAGGTTTTTAGAATGGGGACGAGAGAGAAAGATACAATGCCTATTGAACAGAACTGTGAAAAGGATGAGAAAACAAAATAAAAAACCATAAGATGAACAAGCAATTTATTCTAAAGAAATACTGCATACTGTTCAAGTGAATGTGCAAAAGAAATACTTCCAAACGTATACACTGGATAAGTTTTATTCATAAATAATAGGATAGTAAACTTAGTTCAACTTACTTTTATATCCTTTTTTCCCTTTTGTGTCAATGGGCCTATTTTTAGCCATTTCTTTAATGATCTCTTGGACAATATATCTGTCCTGAAAGCCTGCATCACTGGGGTTCAATTCAATATGGTTTGTGCTTGACAATGTAGTCAACTCTATATCAATGGTTCTGCTCCCAGCCTATAAATAAATCATAGGAAAAAAACTTATAGTTAAAATTGAATGCAAGAAAAATCAAATGAATAAGCAAGTGGAAGATTTAATCAAATACCGGTTATAAGAAGCTCAAAACGCATTGAACAAAAGTTTTAGGTTGAACAAGGAGATATTCAAGGGAAAATAATCTTTCATAAATATAAATAACGTTACTAATACATTGTATAGGCCCCAAATGTCTGGAAATAAGGTGAGCATTAAAAGATATATAAATTGGTTAATGTACTATGCTCACGAAGGTTGGAGATGTCAGTGTCCTTCTGCCATATCATGTAAGAGATCTAAATATATCCTACAGCTCCAATTCTATGGAGGCTTTTCTCTAAAAATAAAAGTAAGCACCTAATTTTGTTTCAAGAAGCGAACAAATAGAGGTAAGAAAAACCAATCCATGCATTCTGAACAAGGAAATGAGAAATGAATCATAAAGAGGAGAAAATTGAATTTGAATTTGAATTCATAATTAATTATTCGGATATGAAATGGCTCATAAACATAATACTTTAGCATGTTCAACGTATGGGATAAAAGATGGCCAGCAATCATCAATGAACAGGAATTTAACACAGCTTTTCACCTAAATGACAAATAAGCAACAATTTTTACAGAAGTTGCAACAATGATCAATCCCATCAATCAAAAGAAGGTGAAGCTTACATCAACTTTCCATGCCCTATTTTCCACTTTCACCTGCCAACCACAAACACAAAATTTCTCAAATGCCAACCAACAAAATTTCGGATTGTGATTGACTTACAAGGACGAATTGCTCATTACTGGAACCGCAAAAAGATAAAAAAGATGCAAACTTTTCGGATTCTGATTGACTTGTAAGGAGGAATCCATCCTTGCATGTTTAAATTCGTTTCGTTTTAGTTCTGTAAATTCGTTTTATACCAAAACAAACTATATAAAGGTGGACAGAAGACCCAAAAGAAAAAGATCAATAATTTGAATCCCAAAAGGTCAAAACAAATAAACGGGAAAATGTATGAGAAAATTGGGACCTTATCCGCGCTGGGTCCGAAAACCTGACGGAGGAGGGCGATGATGAGGGTTTTTTTGCCGGAGCCGGAAGGGCCATAAAAGAGCAAATGGGGGCAATCCTGCTCTGCAACCTGCACAAGAAGAAGTTAGGGTTATGAAATCTTAGAAATTGGGAATTGAAATCGACGAGAGAGGGGTAGAGTCGCACGAGTTTCTTGAGGTTTTGGGCGATGTCTTGGTGGACAATTGCCTGGTCTAGGGTTTTGGGTCGGTACTTGTCTACCCACAGCATCTTCTTCAGTCTTCACTGCCGTCACTTGGAGAAATCAGGCAAGGAAAAAGTGAGAAAATCACCGGAGGACAAAAGTGGCGCGAAACTCCGCTGTGTGTGTGGGGCCTAATCTGGGGCATCTATTTTATTATAGCCGTTGGATTCATCCGACGGCAAATACAGTTTAGATTAATCGATTTATTTGAGTAATGCATCTGGAGCATTTAATTGGAGTAATAGTCTTTTATCGGCAAATACATTATTGTTAGCTCATTTGAGTAATAGTCTTTTAACTAAAAATAGATGATCATTTGGTCCTTTAAATCTTCAAAACGTGTAGTTAAAGTCTTTTTCATCAATTCCTTTAAAATTAATCACGTGCCATACACGCGAGATTGAATAAAGAGGTAAATATGGAAAACGAAATGAGAAAATTTGAGAAGATATCCTATCCGGATCTCTTCCACCAAGCAGTGGCGGATGCATTGAGAGGCAAGGGGTCAGCTGACCACCCGAACTTCAATAAACATCCATGGATACTTTGGGTGCTGACTCTCTGAAGTTCGGTGAATGTTCATGGATATTTTGGGTGCTGCCCTTTTGAAGATTAGAATTGGCTTCATACATGCCCTCAAACTGTTTGATACAATGTATGAAAGAATAGTGAATGAAATGGTGATCTTAATGAATAACAAAGCATCATTATTCTTGGACAAAACATATTAATGACATGCAATGATATCAAACATTGTTAGTGTGTTCAAAATAAGTGTGTTTCTTTGTTAAGCATTCATATGGGAGCAGTCTTGGAACATGTTAGTTACCCGCATAAATGAAGCATTAACATGTGTGCAGTATGCATTTCCAAATAACTTTAAATCTACCAAGACTTGATGAAATGACAATGAAGCATTAAACGTTTTTCTGAATAGGAGGATGCCAAAGGTCGTCTAATGCTAACAATTCCACAAACTAAGTGAGAAAAACAGGAAAAAAATGAAACCATATTACACGATGCTGACAATGTACGTCGTTCATAACATCAACTGACACGATAAACACCCTGCTCTGAGTACAATACATTGCCATCAAGTTGAAAAAATACATTTCAGGTCGACGGGAAACCATGCTAGTGCAGTGTTCAGCCAAACGCTTCAATGAGGAAAGCCTTGACACATTAGACAAAATGAAGTTGCCTGTCGAGCTGGCGTTGCCTCTGATGAAGTTCCTCTCAATCTTATTTTGCCAGCATTCGCGGCGAAGTTCATGAGTACAAGACATATAAATTGGCAAGCAAACAAATATATAGCAACAGTTTAGGTATATGTACTTAAAACTAAAAGCCTGTTCGTAGAGAGAAAAATGGTGATGGTGAGGAGAAAGAGAAAGGACATGAAATACATTAAGGAGAAAGGAGGAATAATACATAAACTGCTTGTAATAATTGTAAGGGTCCATTAGATTTTAGCCCTTACAATTCTCGATCCTTAGATAAAAACTCATGTATCTATAAACATCCAATAAAAGTCTAAATTTAAAAATGGGTAGCCACATTGGAAAACTATTGACATACTAATATAATAGGTTTATGCCTATGCCACTTATGCTTATCAGCCGTTTCCAAAAGATTATCCTTAACCCCCAAACGTTCAAATCCAGACTTATCAGCCGTTTTCAGAAAAAACTATTCTTATCTCTGGACATCTTTTTAGACGTTTCTAATCCAGACGCTACGATATTGATTCCAGGTTCTATCACTGATTTCAATAGTTACCATGCTTCTGGGGAGAGATTCAAAATAAAAAAAATCCAACCTTTTTTTTGTGTTGAATCACATCATTCAACTGCAATAGAGATAATTTGAAACAACATGCCGTATATTGCATCTTCAATGAATCTGATAATAATCTGGACATTTAAACAGGTGATACATTTTTTTTTCTTTCATATCTGTTTTATGAAAATTTGTACGTATTTTATAGTATTTAATCTTGTCGTCTTCGTAGGTACATTATATACCGTTGGAACTATGATAAAAAAATTGGCAGAAGTAATCTATTTCAAATTGTTGGATCATATACGACCAGAATTTCATCCGTTAGTATACCATATTCTTTGGAATAACTCAATTGTGTTATTTATGTTGTATTTTGTTGTAATTTTATATTGTACGCTTATAACGTGTTTGAGGAAGTCTTGAATGAAAATTAAATGCCTTGTTGGTTAATTGTTGGAAATAAAATTCAGAATATATAATCTATTATCTATATCTTTAATAGATGCGTTTGAGAAAATTACATGCGTTTGAGAAAATTATATGCCTAATTTGCTTACCCTGTATGTAATCTATATCTTTAATATATAAAGCCAGCGGCCCGTTTTGGGGTCACCTTCTTCGACAAAATTTTTGGACACAAATGTCCTCAAAACAAAAAAATTCAGAAGAAGTCCAAGATAATACATCAAATAATTCAGGGACATTTTCGTCATATAAACGGTATTTTTAAATAATTATTATTTTAAATCATAATTTTGTCATAAAAAATACCAAACAAGTAACTTTCCTCCGTGCAGATCTGCTGTTCTCCTCCTTCATTCTTCCACTCCAAAAACTTCATTTCATCATAACTTTTTCAGACGGCAGCGAAATCGCGCAAGGTCGGAGCCTATAGATTCGTATCAGAACCCTCTGCCATCTGATATGATACCCGCACCTCAAAATCAACTGTGTTCAAAGATTGGAGCCTAGAACAGTGACGGTTTTTTGGCGGAGTTTTGCTGATTCCGGCCAATCCCTGCCGGGATTTGGTCTCGGCCCAAGAGAGAAAGTTGATCCTCTCCTAACGATCTCTCTACCTATCTCTTCAATTTTCTCTGCCAGAACCTGTGGAGAAAAAAAAAATTGATTTTTTTTTTTTTTTAGTTTTTGGTTTGTGGGTTTTTAATTTTTTGATTTTTTGTGCAGGTAAAGGAAGAACCCAGAAGAGATATGTTCACTGAAGGACTTGATAGCAGCGCCCTTCATTGGGTTAGAGAGGTTTGTGAAGAAAAATCATTACCCTCTTTCTTTTTTCGAATTAAAAAAAAAAAGTAAGGTTTAATTTTTACTGTTGTTTGATTTAATTCTCAGCATCATTCGTGGTATTGTAGTGATTCACTACCTGATTAATAAAACCCATATTTTAATTTTTTAATTTTATGGATTTTTGGCATCTGATTTTGGTTTTTGACGTCTTCTTAGTGATTGACTTCTTTGGTGTTTATTTTGTGATTTATGCCTGCAAATAGAAGTTTTGAAATCTTGGAAAATTCGAAATGTTAGGGTTTGATCCGTGTTCGCTCGAGATTGGTGGTAGTTTCATAGCAGTCCAAACAAAATTGATATTAAATTGAAGCCAAGAATAGGAAATTTTGAAGTATATGTTATTCTGTTGCTGCAAGCAATGTGATTGCATCCCTTAGACATTAGGTATATGTCAAATCTAATAAAATTTTAGTATGCGATTTTGTGATAATCTTCCATGGTAAGTGACTTTGGTTTGTTTTGGTTGATCTGAATTTCAAATTTCCAGTTGAATTGTTTGTTTTGGTTTGCTGCGCATGATATGAGCTTCAAATTAGATAATTTATGTGTGTTAATACTTATCCTTCACTAGCTCGCTCAATTGCATAATTTGCATTAGTTGTTGCTTGAACATGTTCTGTTACTTACATTTTACGTCGGGAAATTTCTTTCATTTTAGATTTTTTTTACCCCTTTGAAGCAGAAAAATAATGCAATTATGATTAAAGTTTCGTTTTTGGTACTTCCCTAATCCTGTGATTGAGTGCAGGGTATAGCCGAAACAGAAAAAACTAATGTACACGAATTTCTTGATGTTAACGGCAGACCAGTTCTCATAGTGGATGCTTCTAAGCATCTTTCTGCTGTAAATTTTATATTTTTCGCCATGTCCGTCTCCATACCATATAATCTTAATATTTTTGAGGTGTTACATGCAAATTTTAATCGATAAAATAGTGTTACTTTTTAACTTAAAACATGCAGACTCTAAGGGACACCATCCATCAAGAGTATCGTGATGTTGTCGAGAGGCGAGTTTTTACAGGTTTGAATCCCTCACTTGCCACTCATCAGTGGTTGCTATTTCTGGAGCTTTTACTTGAATTTCTATGATCTGATTTTATAGTTTATTTCTCTTGCATTTTGTGAATGTCAGTAACGAGCGTAAGAGCTGATGAAGAGGTAAAACTTATTGCACTGTTGAAATTACGGTATATCTATACCAATGTGAAAGCTCAGTTTCTAATTATTTAACATTGTACAGACAATTGAAAGATTAATCGAGACAGAATACAGTGAACATATTTTCCGGATGGCAATCCAAGAACAAGGTGGAGGCCAGGTTTGTCAAATTTCCTTTTTTATTCTCTCCCCCCAAATAAACACTTTTTACTATCGAAATTGTGCATTCTCTCACAAACTTGACAAATTTTTTGACATCTTGAACAATTAATTTTAAGCTCCTAACTCTTTTAGCTTGGGTTGTTGAAACACTTAATTTTCTGATTAAGATTGATCATGTCCAAAATTTTGTATCAAATTGTAGATAATGGACACTTTGGCCAAAATTCAAGAGCGACATGATGCTGTTAAAGATCATGAGAGAAAGCTTCTGGATTTACAACAGGTATCTTCTTAGTTTGTTCAATGATGTGTACTCTGTGATGGAAATGAAGTTGCTATATAATACAAATGTCTAGCATAGGCCTTACTTTTTAGAGTTCACTTTACAATTTGGTATTGCCGTATTGAATATAATAACATTAATCTGTTGAATCTTGCTGCCTGGCATTCTGCAAGAAAGTGTAGGATCGGTTAGATCATTAAGTTGTGTCATGACGTGTTAATCTGTGTCCATCATGTAGCTCATAAGAAAACCAAGCTATGGTCCACTTTTAATGTCACGATTCATTGAGGCCAAGGCCAACCGGGAGAATAGCTGCAAAACTGAAAGGAAAACTTTCTATTTGTGTTTCGCCATGGGTATATGATATGTGTTAAACACTCACTCTCTCTTATGCACAGATATTTCTCATGTCTTGCTATTTTGTAGATTTTTCTGCAATTTTTTTGGGTTACTAATAGTGTTGGCCTAATTTATTTATTGTTTGTGTGTGACTAATTTACTTCAAAGTTGTTAAAAAACAAAAGGTTATCTATAGTGTGACATCCCACATCGTCCAGGGGAGTGATCCTTAAATGTATATTCTCATCCCTACCTAGCACGAGGCCTTTTGGGAGCTCACTGGCTTCGGGTTCCGTAGGAACTCCGAAGTTACGCGAGAAGGGGGCTAGAGCAATCCCATGATGGGTGACCCACTGGGAAGTTGCTCGTGAGTTCCCAAAAACAAAACCGTGAGGGAATGGTAAGCCCAAAGCGGACAATATCGTACTACGGTGGTGGAGCGGGCCCGGGAAGTGATCCGCCCCGGGCCGAGATGTGACATATAGTCTCTGAAAAACAAATTTTTTCAGTGGATATAATGTGATCAATTCCTTTGACAAATGCAGGTGTTTGAAAAATTTCAACTCTGCAAGTTGTAAAAAAAAGGGTTTCAAAGTATTGTGCTTTCACGTTTCGACATCTTTCCGTTTCTGTTCCAAGGATTTCTGCACTGAAGGTAAGTGATCTAAACTTTGATATTCCTTTTAGCTTTAATCGTGTTTAAATTTAAGTCCTAATTTCGGTGGTTTGTTTATAATTAGTGTGTTTATGTTGTTTTACTGTGTGATTTATGTGTTTATGTATGGGAGTCTTCAAAAGAAATTCTGTGTACAAAGATATTTTGCTTCCATCAAATATATGATAAGGTTGCATTCATTCTTTTGAAGGGATGTAGTCAAACTCGGATTTGAGAAGATTTTAAAAGACTTTAAAATCCTAGTGTTGTCAATCAAAAGATTTTAGAGGATTTTTAGAATCCATGCAAATCTGGATGTAGTCAATTTAGATTTTAATAGTCATTTTTAAAGTCCATCCAAATCTAGGTGTATTGAAAAATTCAAGATTTTGTAGGATTTCATTAAGTTGTGGATTTTGTGGGATTTGTGAGTAAGAAGTATATATAACTAAGACCAAATAGAATCCTACCTCACACCTTAGGATTTCAAATCCAAGAACCTCTCCCTTTTCCTCTCACACTTTATCTTCTTCCTTCGTTTGGGCAATTTTTTCTTTATCTTTGCAAATTTTCTACAATTCTTTTTGCAATTTTGTGCAATTTTTTCTTCATGGCAGAGAAGGGGAATTATCTTGCAAATTTTGGATGAATGAAGTAGAAGAGTGCATCCGGTGTGTTGTGTGACCGTCGTATGCCATTGAAGCTCAAGGGAAAATTTTATAGGAAGGCAATAAGGCCGGCGATGCTGTATGACATGGAATGTTGGGCGGTCAAGCATCAACATGTACATAAAATGGGTGTAGCGGAGATGAGGATGCTTCGTTGGATGTGTAGGCACACCAGAAATGATAAGATTAGGAATGGGGATATTCAAGGTAAATTAGAAGTAGCCGAAATTGAAGGAAAGATAAGAGAAAATCGATTACGGTGGTTTGGACATGTGCAAAGAAGGCCTACTGACGTTCCGGTTAGAAGATGCGACTATAGGACAGAGGTCTAGGGTTGAAGGGGTAGAGGAAGACCTAGGAAAACTTTGAAAGAGACTATAAGAAAAGACTTAGAGGACTTGGATCTAACGGAGGACATGACACAGAATCGAGTGCAATGACATTCAAGGATTCATATAGCCGACCCCATTTAATGGGAAAAGGCTTTGTTGTTGTTGTCGTTGGTAGAGAAGGGGAATTGGAATTGGGTTGTGAAGGAAGAGGAGTAAAATGGAAGGCAATCTCTATCTGGAAGAGAGTCGCGCAAGATTGTAGAAAGCGAGCTTGTTTTTTGCAAAAAAATTGCACAACCCATGGTTGCACAAGATTGTAGAAAGGATTGGAAGAGAGTCGCGGAAAACAAGATTAGAGGAGTATTGACAAAAAAAAAAAAAAAAAACAAAAAAAACAAAAAAAAATTGGAGAGAGATGTTAGCTGGAACGGAAAAGAGAGAAGAATAAAGTGGGGAGGAAATAGGATTGGAAAAGGGTGCAGTTGGAGATTTTTGAGTAGTTGGGTTTATGTGATAATCTTGACTTTTTTATTTCAGCTTTATTTTAGTGGATTTATGATCTAGATACATTTGTCACCATTTGATTTATTTGACAGTCAAGATTCAATGCTGTAAAATTTATTAAATCCACACAAATCTGTTATATGAATCTTCTCAAATCTTCCAAAATCCATATAGATTTTATAGAAGTCTCATAATCCTATGAAATTAATCACTTAACAAAATCTATTAAAATCCTTTCAAATCCTAAGTTGACTACACCTCCCTTATTCACTTTTCAAATCCACGTAGATAAATACATGTAAATCGTATAAGTTGTGCGTAAAACGACGTCATTATAAAAGAGTCTTCCGCACGCGCGTGATCATGTGCAAAGAGGCTAGTAATATATAAAGCCAATGGAAAAGTGAATAGTAATTTGGTGTCACCAAGCTTCAATAAAAATATTTGGACAAAATGCCCCAAAGACAAAAAAATTTCAAAGGCATCCCAAAATAATGCATCAAATAAGGCATGCGCATTTTCGTCATTTTAACAATATTTTTTTAATAATTTTTTTTTTTTTGTGCTTTTTTTAGAGAATGAAAAAGGTGAATAGTATTTTGGTGTCACCAAGCTTCAATAAAAATATTTAGACAAAAATGCCCCCAAGACAAAAAATTTCAAAGGCATCCCAAAATAATGCATCAAATAAGACTGGGGCATTTTAGTTATTTTATTAGTATTTTTTTAATAAGTATTTTTTATGTATTTTTTTTAATTAGTGCTTCACAATAAACTAGCAATAATGTAATTCAATTTCTCTATTTTTAAACACGTTCAAAATATCTTAAGATGTTTTTATGTTTTTTTTTTTAATTAGTACAATGTGATTCAATTTCTTTATTTTTAAACACGTTCAAAACATCTTAAGATGCGTGTAATGCAAGTTATAAAAAAAATCTTTCATGAATAATAATGTGATTAAATTAGTTGTCAAATGATTTTTTTTCTTTAAACAAACAATATTATCAACATTAAGACCAACTCCAACCCTGGCCTAAAATTTAAAAATATTTAGCCTAGAAAATTTAGGTTTTAGTCCAAAAATAATTTTTCTGCTCTAACCCTTCTGGCTTAAAATTTTAGTCTGAGATTATTAAAGAATGAATTTAAGCTAATTTGTTTCTTAAATTAACTTTTTAAAAGAAAAAAAAATGTAGACTATTGTTATTTAATTTTATGAATATTTTAATATAAAAATATTTAAATTTCGATAGCACATGAAACTCACCAATTGGTTGAATTTTGAGTTAAATAAAATTTTAAATTATTTTAGCTGTTGGATTTAAATTTGGATTGTTAGCTTTGATTATATTCGATCTAAGCCGTTGGATTCAATAAATATATAAATATATAAAAAAAAATTATTTGAACGTGGACCATTGGATTAACCAACAGTCCAATTAAACTAGCTGATGGATGAAAAAAAGTAGTCATTGGTCTACGATGAGGCTGACACACAAGAGGGGCAACCCCACGTGGGTGGGCCTTGGCTGGAAAGGGTTGTGGCGCGTGACACGTGTTTGGGCGTCTGTGTTTTAGGGTGTGGGCTTCACAACCCACTTTTCAGTCTCACCCGTGGGTCTCACTTCAATTTGTGGGCTAAATTGTGGTCGGTATTTGGCTTCCTTTTAGGTTTCAGGTTTTAGATTTGGTTTAGGTTTTGGGTTGGGTTGGATTTAGGGGTTTTTGGGGGGGGGGGGTTTAGCCCAGGGTTTGAGTGGGTCCAAGGGGAAGGGGGTGAACTTAGTCTTATAATGGACTAGTAATAATGTAATTCAATCAATTGTTTATTAAATATTATTTTCTCAATTTTTAAACACGTTCAAAACATTTTAAGAGGCGTGTAATGTCGGTTATAAAAATGGTCTTTCGCACACGGATAATAATGTGATTAAATTAATTGTCAAATGATTTTTTTTTTAATATACGATATTATCTATACTAAGGGGGAGGGAATGAGCTTAGCCTCACAATGAGCTAGTAATTATGTGATTCAATTAATTGTTTATTAAATATTATTTTGTTTATTCTTAATGTAAATTCTATAGAGACTGATTTTATTATGTAAATTCAGTTGTTTCAATTGGTTTATGAGGGCTTTCTTTTAGTATGATCTAAAATTATTCATTTACTTCAAATATTTGACTTTCCTTTTGTCAATTTACGCTAAATACATTTAAAACATGTAAGTCGCGCGTAGCATGCCTTGATTCAAAAAATGTCTTATGCACGCGCATGAGCACGTGCATGAAGGCTAGTATACATAAGATAGGCAAATTAATATATACAATGGTCAGATTCAGTAATTTCAGATATTAGGAGGCAAATTAAGATAGGCTAATTTACTTGTCCATGTTTCATTGACATTTTTGTTTGTCCTTTCCATGTGAAAGGAAAATAGAGATGTCATCTATTTTTCTTAATGTTAGCTTCTGATATAGCTAACCATCCTACAGCCTTTCCAGATTGTCTTTTTTGTGCTAGTTGCAATTTGTCGTCCTGTCCTCAATGACATAATTTCATTCAATTTAACTAGTCTATTGATTCTAACATGGAATATATATTTTCAATCAATTTAACTAAGAGGAACACGATTTTGGGGGTATTTTCAGAGCTTATGATGGAGGGTCGGTTAGCGATGATATGCGTAGGAAGAAACAGGATCCTCTCCAGATCCTCGTTGTGAGGATCATGGGAATCCTTCAATCGTATCTGTTTATCGTACATCGTGTGGTCAAAAATCATTACAAATTTTTTTTATTTAAAATTGAATATAAAAAGTATTTGACAAAAACTGATCGCACAATGTACGATAAACAAACACGATTGGAGGATCCCTAGGATCCTCATTCGCGTAGGAAGACTTATGTAGATATAATTAGAATAAAAATAAATTAAAATTTGCACCCTCAAGTTTGGGTGCAATTACAACTTCATACAACATTTTTAAAACATTTCAATCTTATACATTTACTATTATTTTATTTCCATTTTGTACAACTGTTAATCAATCCGTTAAATTCGCCGTTAGTTGATGATGTGGCAAATATAAAACCTACACATTTTAATGACGTGGCAAAAAAAAAATTTAATTGAATGTTAAAATTTAATTTTAAAACAAAAATAAATTGACCCCACCTACCTTCTTATCCGGCCCACCCTAAGCCATTATGCTTAATGTGTCTATCTAAATTCAGCATAACTAAGCTTTGCCTGCCTCAACGGTGGCTAATCTGAACAGTAGCATTGAACATCGACTTTGGCGGTTGGATTAGCACCTTCTTCCCGAGCTCAAAGCTATGGCGGAAAGCGTTCCGACCACTCAGCGTGGCGGTGAATACAACAAGGAGGATAATTCTGATAATGGGCGGACCGAGCGCTTTATGGGAAGAATAAAGATACCGTTAAAAGGGTTGATGAGGGGCCGTTAAGGCCATCTCCAACCGAAGGCTGGCCAGATGGTTTGTTTTAGCGAGTCCTCTGGCCTTCCAAGAAATTAATATTTTAAAGAACGGTACATGGTCATATTTGCCTCAATCTCCAACCGAGGGCCAAAAGGTCATAGGACTCGTTTTAGCCATGTCACAAAAAAACGTCTCCAACCAAGAGCCAAAGGGTCATAGAGCCAAACATAATTTATTATTTAAAAACTACAACTTAAATTCAAATCCAATAGCTAAGTGACGTCAGCTAGCCGTTGGTATAATAGCTTAGGAAGTTATAGGGAAAAAAAAGAATTTAAAAAAAATATATTAAACAAATTTTGTAAAATAGAAGTTACAGAAAAAAAAATAGAAGTTATAGGAAAAAAATTTGTAAATTAAAAAAAAAAAAAAAAAAAAAAAAGCTAGCTAACGTCAGCTAACTGTTGCATTTGAAAATTTGGCCTAACATTCCTGTTGGATATATCCGACTGGAATATACATATTCCTGTTGGTTATATCCGACAATAATGCTCACATTTTTGGCCAGCTCGAGGCTAGCTGAATTGGGTCAACCCTTTGGCCCTTTCAGATTCTGTGGGACCCACGAACCCTCTAGCTTAGTCATCAGTTGAAGACGGTTTTCAGGCGTTTTTCGGCCTTTGACCCTCTGGACCATTTGGTTGGAGATGACCTAAATGTAGCCAGAAATAGATGGGAGTGTAGATCTTGATGCTCTGCGTGTTGGGTTCATACCGGATTTTTTTTTAATTTTGGAATTAGGGAAGTGAGGAATTTTCAGAATGGAATTTGGGAAGCAGATGGAATTTTGGGATTTGCTTATGTGTGTTACAATGGGAGTGAGATGAGAAATTGGGTGTGTGGGATCTGATTAGGAAAATGGGATTTGGTTGAGAAATGGAAATTTTATGGTGCTAAATGCTAAAGGGATTGTGGGGTTTGGACCTGGGAGGGACTTGGAGGTGCTGCCATGGAAGAACTGGATTGGAGAAATCTGTAGGTGACAAACCCCATTGAAGGTGAAAAGCTGCAGACTTTGAAATGTGGTTTGGCTTTTTTTTTTTTTTTTTTTCTGGGGAGTTGTGGGAGATGCAATGCAGTGGTTGGCCTCAAAGCGAAGAATGGTGACTGGGTAAACAGAGATCGGTCGCGATCGGTTCTCTGATTTCGGCGAAGTCTAGCAGGGCTCGGACGCTGCGATGAACCTGGAGAAGATGGGGGTGAAGCCCACTTTGTTTTTAAATAATTTTTTAATATTTAATTATTTTTATTTGTCACATCATCAAAATATGTGATTTTATGTTTTGAATAAATTACACAAAACTACCGTAATTATAGATCGAATCATAATCTTATACCTTATGTTTTTGTTTTAAAAGTGACAATGTTGTACCTTATCTTATGAATTTATTATAAAGTTAGACCTTTGTTATTTTCTCAGTTAATTTAATTTATCTGTTAAATGCTAACGTGGACCCATCACTCTCAACTTTCTTCCCCATTCCACCTTCTTCCCCATCACCAGCGCCCACCTTGACCTCCATACATATATTTCCCTATCAAGCACACCTCCATACATATATTTCCCTATCAAGCACCAGCACAACCATGGCACAGAGTATTTGCACTAACATCAAAATTAAAGGGGAAAAGAATGCATCCAGGAGTTGGAACAATTCATCAAACTTTATCATTTACCAGTTACATTCCTAACAAATAAAAAAAAAAAAAACAAAAGAATTATAAGTGGTAATCAAATTCCCAGGCTATAAAACATCAATGAAAGAATGAATAGAAAGAAAAAAAACCCCCAAAAGTCTTTGGTATTCTTCAGATTTTGACTTTTGGTAACATAAGATTGAATTGTAGAAAGAAACATCCGGTTCGTTTTTTTATCCATATTCCTGGTTACTAATACTAACTAAGAAATCTCTATTGAGCGAGAACGGAAGACCCTTTTCGTGAATTGGTCTGATGGGTCTTAAATTTGACTTGTTTCTTCAATGGGGTCGATTTCGGTTCGGGTTCTTCGAGCTCCTCTGGGATCATGTACTTCCTCCTTAGCCGCAATTCTCTGAGTTCCGCGTAGGCTCTGTATCTAGGCCCTTTCTCCATGACGTAGCTCTCGGTGGCGAACCTCAAGGAATTGGATGTTGATCTGGGTTAGGGTTCTGGGAGAGATGTAGAACCCATATGGGTTATAGGGAGTGGGTCCCACATTTTTTAAATAAAAATTTTTAATATTTAATTAATTTTTTAGGGACTGAGCCCCTCAAGTCACGCCATCATTTAAAAATTTTTAAATTTTTAAATTTTTAATATTTAATTAATTTTTAGGGACTGAGCCTCTCAAGTCACGTCATCATTTAACAGAAAAATTGATAGAAAAACTAACGGATGTCTGACATTGCAACAAATTCGTAAAATGAGATATAACATTATAAATTTTAAAACATAAGGTATGAGATTGCGGTTCAACCCATAATTGAGGTAGTTTTGTATAATTTACCCTTATGTTTTTCACATCACCACTTAACAACCAATTTAACGGATTGACTAACAGGTATATGAAATTGAAATGAAATAATAGTAAATGTATGAGATTAATATGTTTTAAAGATGGTTTATGAGGTTGCAATTGAAACCAAAATTGAGGGTGCAAATTGTAATTTACGCTTAGAATAATTAATTGTTTCAATGCCGAGACATCCGAATTCAAATTTGGTGATAGGTGTGAAAAGTTTATAGGGTTCGAAGTTGAGGAGTTGCTTGGATTGCCTAACTTTGCTCGAGATATAAGAGAACGATGTTCAAAATATGAGGAAGGTCTCATTAAATTTTTTTTTGAAACAGTTACAAGAGTTACTAGGCAAAATATTGAATTTGCTATGATTACAGTAGTAACAGGTAAAACACAACAGAATCGCGAGGATTTTGTATGCCTATTGTGTTTGCATCTTTGTATTACATTATTAATTTGTAATAGTGGTAGTAACATCTCTTGGAACATAACTTTCAGTTGTCAAGATGTTCGAACAATTGCAGACTACAATTGGGCAAAAGCATCATGGGATTGTTTGCAAAAACAACTGGTGAAGAATTGCGGAAAACCATCATAGGTATCTGGACGTGTTGTGTTGTTGCCGGTATGTATTGTATACTATTGGGTGTGTTTATAATTCATTCTATGTACTTTTTAATTCGCTGACCGGTATATTTTTGTGTGTCAACATTTTTGGTTGTGTGAGAAAATTTCATTGGTTGAACCTGTATGAGGGAGAATGGATTTAGCACACTCAAATTTGTGAAGTGGGATATGCACGTAATGCATGAGGCTAGGTACGTTAAATTGAACTTAACTTTTGTTTTTGCATGTTTTGTTATTGTGGTATAATGTTTAGAAGATAATGATAATTTTGGCTATTTAGATTAGCGATAAAGTTTGAGGTGTGAATCTCCCAATAAGGTGTCCCCGCCCAGAGACAATGAACAAGACTTTCAGGTATGTCGATTTTTGTTTTGATGTTTTGTTAAATAGTTTTAACTAGAAAATGTGTGTTTGCGCTTTGCTACAAGCGCTGAATTTATTAGTTGCAACATGCATGAATAGTTTCCATACAAAGCAACTAAAAAAACGTAGTACCTGGGAACCAATGAAGTCAAACTTTGCTTGCTATATATGAATATGCATGCTATAAGAAACATTCATTTGTAGATTGCACTGAGCCATCAATATCGTAGTAGTAAGTAATCAACCTATTACGTTGAGGAAAAACATAGAAAAGGGAAAGTAGAAAAGCAGAAGACGAGATACTTGAGCATCTGCCAAGAATAGTAAGTTTCTAAAAAGATTGCCAAATGGTTTTACAAATTCAATCGTTAAATGTTATACTGCAACCCATGACAAAGATAAAGTTTGTAGTTTGTTTACAAATCAAAACAAAGTGCTGCTATAATCCGTAATAGCTACGAATCAGTTCCACATAAAGATGCTCAACAGCACATCCAATAACCAGCAAGCAAAGCAAAATACGCCATGCGCTAACACAAAACTAAAACAAAAGGAGGATTAAATAACGAAAATTTTCCATAAGGCATCAATTGAACAAATGCTTCCTAATGTGGTCTTAGAAGAAAAGAATGCAGCTCCAAAACAACTTAGAAAACACCCTACAAATCTTTATCCCTAATCTTACTAAATAGAAGCATAAATGGACATGATAGCTCCCTAATTTTGTAACACAAACTCTAACAAAGAATAACAGGCTCCAAAGGTCCTGACTTTTCCTTGGCATAAATCTGTATATTGCAAGTTTAATTCCAACAAAACAAATACGTTTGTAAAGTAAAAGGCATCAACGCTATATGCATTGCTTTACAACCATCCCGACTTACTGACACAATGCCTAAAATATTCAAGACTCAAAGACTTGCATGTAAATAGAACACCTCACCTAAACAATAACCGAGATGCGAAAGATGACTTACACTTTTAAGGCCTACTGCAAGTCTGGCACTTCTCCTTTGCTCATCATCATTGTCTCATCCAAACCTAAATTTTCAAAAAACCAAACTGTCTGCAAAATTAAAATCAACCTTAGCTAAACACACAAACACACACAAAATTCAGATTTGGAGGAACCCTGAATTCCCCAAAAGGCCACCACATTTTGAGATCGATTACCATATTCAAAAACACACTCCACATGCAATCACAGAAATTACTTCAACTGGTTCAAAAGAACCGCTTCCCGCAACTTCTTCGAAAATCAGCAAAACGAAAACCACAAACAAAAATACATTTGGACTTAATTTTTTTTTAAAATGCACTGCATAAACACCACCATTGAGCTACTCAACGCTGCAATTTTCTTTTCCTTTTCCCCCATTTTTCTCAGCCACCAACCAAAGGGTAAGCCTTAAAATGTCAATTCTTATTTCATTTCCTACACCTGCCCTAACCATCCCTAAAATGACATATTATAAACTCAAGCTTTGATAGTTAAATGTTGAAGGAAAACTAATGAAAAGAGCTTGAAAACTTTGAGTTTTAACGATATGCACAAAATAAAGGATAAAGTGAATAGTACCAGGTTTGATTTTTTAGTGTAAAATGTAATTTTTCGTTAAAGTGAACAGTATTATGGGCTTTTTGTTAAAACTCCCTAAATATTAAGGATCAGCAATGATAATATTGAACTTTTTAAATAAGTTTATAACACCTCAGCTATAAACTGGGACACCTTGTGCTTAAATGGCTCCGGTTCTGTAAACCGAACTTCTTGAAGAATGTAGCGGATCTGCAATAACATTAAACGAATGCATTAAAACCTTTATCTATTGTGGTGTGATATCCACACATCCTATTTTACTTCTCACACATCCTTTTAATTTTTAGCCGTCAAATCGGATGAATTGAAGAAAATCAACGGGAAAAAATTATCAAAAGGTGTGTGAGAAGTAAAATAAGGTGTGTGGATAACATACTCCTATCTATTATCTGCCAAACCACTTGTTGAGCACCCAAAAAAAAAAAAAAAAAAAACTTTAACTAAAAACTCCTGGTACTGTTCACTTTAATGAAAAACCACGTTTTTACACTAAAAAATCAATCCTAGTACTATTCACTTTACCTTTTATTTTGTCCTTATCATTAAAACCCAAAATTTTCAAACTATTTTCATTAGTTTTTCTATAAAAAAAAATTTGTGATATTAATATAGAAGATAAGGATAAAAAAATTAGCGAGTAATTACATGCCCAGACACCTCCCCCCGTGCGAAAGCAAGTAAAGGTGAAACTATAATATAAGTTTCATTGTGAAGAGAACTTGTATAAAGAAAGGTAATCACCAAAAATCACCAATCAACATAGGCATCTTCAAATAATTTAAATAAGCAAGAGATGGTTGAACTAAGCTGGTAGGATCAGCAGCTTAGTTTTCATTTACATTCAATTTAGCTGACATCAAAAGTCATTGTACAATTAACTGGATGAACTTAAACGTTTCTGATCACAAAAGTTGTGATCGCAAAATATGTTGTGTTTGTATAAGAAACAGAAGCAGCAATCAATATGGAGATCTTCAAAAGAATACAACAAAAAAATAAAGAAATAACGAACAACATTTGACTTTCGATGTCCCATTTGACTGAAAATCTAAAGACGTGCTTAATGTAAAAGAGATTTTTCAGACCAACTTACAAATACTTGGATGAACTAATAAATCCCAATTTTGGGAGTAAAAGATATGATTTCACATAGAACAATTGTAACATATCGTGCATGTACCAGAAATCATTTTAATTAATTTCCAGAGAGGGTTTAGGGAATATAGAAATGGAAACAGTTGTTAACAAACACTGTAGCTTTAAAAGAATACCCAAAAAAAATAAAGGAATAACAAACAGCATTCGAGATTAGGGCTGGGTTCGGTTCGAAACAGTTCAATTTTTTACTAAAACCAAAACCGAAACCGAAATTTTGGTTTGGTTCAGTTTTTTTCGGTACGGTTTCTGGCCGATTTGGTTTTTCTTTTCTCTTCTTCTTCTTCAATAGCAAAAAAAAATTCCAGAAAACAAAGCTTGCATGATCTTCTCTTGCGCAGAATAGGCTTTGGGTCTACCACAATAAATTAGAACAATCAAAAACACAGATTAGTTATTCTAATAACTACAAGAAATTGGCAAGGCATCGAGAAATCAAAACCCTAAACGAAAATATATACTTCCAGATAATTAGAGCCAAATCATGTAGTTAATTTTCAGGTCACATATATATATATATATATAGTTAGATCAGTGTTACAAAAACTTGAACCAATTGAAGGCAAGAGTTGTCTAACAAAGAGAGCAAATCATTTACCTTTGTGGCCGTGGGAATAGAGTTTCAACGAAGAATTGAAACGGGTTCCCTTGAAAATGTAAAATTAGGCAAAAAGTAGAAGAAATGTAAAAATCAGGCAAAAAAATGGAAGAAATTGTCGGCAGCCGGCTGGGTCCGGTTTTTTTCAGTTTTCGATTTTTTGAACCCACCCTCATTCGAGATACATCACAAATGAAATTGGCCTCACTGTGAGTCTTCTTTTTCTCTCAACCGACTCTTCTCTTTTGGCCTCACTGAAAATAACAAAAAAAATAAAATAAAATAAAAAAGAGATTTTAGAAATATTTCGAATCCAACACACACTAAACTATGATAACGGTATTATCTTAGTATACATACTACGTATACTATGACCGACTTCATTTGTCATTTCTTTCAAACCAAAAATAGTATCGGGAAGACTTACCTTTCACTTCGCCAATGGTGGCCAAACAAAAATCCTAAACTTTGATCTCTTCACACTTCCTTGTCTCTCAACTGTGCACTGGAAGCTCAACACAGGAATTGTAGGACCCCAAATGCACTCTCTATGCGAAAGTTGGATCAAACGGATAGAATACAAACAAGGATAACTCAGTAAGAAATACACAATATTACAATTTTTAACATCTAATGCACGATAACTCAGTAGGAAAACACACTATTTTGGCTAAACCGAAGTTGAGCAGATAGAATACAAATAAGGATCCAGTGAGTGGACTGCTGGTTTACCAAAAACACCCCAATCAAATTCCAATGCCTTAGTAATGTGTAACATCCTCTGTTTCAATTTCTTGTATCCAAATTTAAATATAACCTGTCCCCATTTTTTCGCCGATTTATATATGATCAATAATGAAAGTCCTAGGATGGGTACTAATTTAACATAGAAATGTAGCTAAATTCTAACTTAAAACTAAAGCAATTTAAGATTTAAGTTATTTAGTTATGTAAACTAATCCCTACACAAATAGTCAAAATAAATATAAAGAGTACGCACATGATGTAGGATTTAACGAGGCAAAACCCACCACTGGGAAAATCCACGGCTACCAAGCCAGGAAGCACTAAGAAAGAAAGAATACATAAAGACTTACAAAAACGCATCAACTAGACAACCATACTAGTTGGCAGCTTTGTCTTCACGCTTTGCTACTCGATCTTTCGTCAGCCTTCGAGTTGAAGTGGCACAATACTAACGCGATCGTCAATCACCTTTTCCTCGAAAGTTGCAAGATACTAACTCGATCATGTAGAATGTTTATATGATGAAGTGTTTGTTTGGAAAACAATCAAGTACGAAAATCACAAGGCACATTTTCATAATTGACATTCAATAAAAAAACCAAAAAAAAACCAAATGAAACTAGCATGAAAATAATATTTTCTCTTTAAACACAATTGCTATTGAAACCACAAGATGGCAGCAACTAAAAAGTTATTTTTTTCATAAGTTAAAAAACGCAAGTTTGCTGCCAATACTAGAACCAAAGAAACATGCATATGCGGCTTTTTTTTTTCCAAGAGTTTGACAACTCTTATAAAAGCTTAATGCACTGCTCGACGTAAACGGATAAGAATGCAATCCATGTAATCAGATGACTCCTACCAACATGCAAACAGATAAGTCCCAATGCAAACAGATAAGTCCCAATGCAATCAGATTGTTTCTTTGAAAGTGTGTTTTAATAATTAATATAGAAAGGATAAGTCATTTAAAAGAGATAAAACACACAATGGTCAAGAGTCCTATTCTAACTACAATAACATGAGATAACAGATGAATGTAGTTGAATGCATGCGTGCAAACGTACCTGAATAAGTATCTTGTTTACGTAACATCTTTGCATCGAAAGTGTGAGAGACATCCTTAGACTTAAACAATTACAATGGAAAATATGTAACAAGTCTAAGCTTTTACAGACTCAAGCATTTTGTCAAGAATTGCCAATTTTGCACTAACAAATAATTTATTCTCTTCCTCACTTAATATCAATACTATTTTGCGTTTAATGCATTGGTATAAAAAAATTTCTCGCTTGAATCATCGTGTCAAATGTATATCACCCCAATCGTTAAATATAAGTACAAAGTAAATTTGATTCTTGAGGACCACACCAGTGAAATCACTGCTTTAGTAATTGGTAAATTTGATTCCACAGACATTGTCAAGGGAAATTACTGTATCCTCAACTGCGGTTTCATCTTCTGTGTCATCACCAAACACAACTGCAGAATCACACAAAGCGAAAAAGATAGTCGGTGAGAAGACCTCTTTTTATTGGTAATGAACAAACGTTTGCTATCTTTCCCTTGTACATGTTTTAAACTATTCTCTATTCATTTTTTCTAACATTTGTCATCCATTTGAAACAATGATGTATCCTATTTGTAGTGAAAACAGGTCCCGACAAACCCATTTATCCTCGAGAAATATTTTGTATGAACTTAAAAACATAATCCCTGAAATTATCTCTTTAGTTAAGAACAACAACAAACTTCTTGTAGAGAAAGACATCAGGCACACAAAAGAACACGCAAGCATGAAATAAACGAAGTAGAGAAAACCAAAAATACAATAAAGAACATGAATAAATGAAAATTACAAAACAAATAAATTGTCGAGGGAGGACATGAAGCTTCTGCGGCGAAGGTTTTTAAGCATAGCATCTACATTGAGTCACCAAGAAACATTGCTCCGACTGTCATACTCATCATCCCTGATCAATGTAATCATATATTTCACAGCCACACTCCGTCTTCATATACACTGAAATAGCATCTAGATTCTTTGCTAAACGAACTTATTCAGTCAACCAATAACCAGTATATACAATCTGACAATCATAGCAGCTACACCAATCATCCATGAATGGACAGAAATACAAATACAATTGAAATGGGGTTTGGAACAAATATTCTAATCATTCAACAAAATTACAAACAGGTTGTTATTTCACCTGGCGCCTGCTTTGTCTAGCACCTAACAAAATTAAGAATGGATAGACAACTACCTCAGTAATGATATCTTTGGTGCCTGCCTTGTGAATGCACGCTTTGATCTGTATGCTTGTGTTTGATCTACATGCACATGTCAAGAATCAAATGAAGTAGTACATTATAAAAATACAAAAGCAACCAAGAAATGGAAAAACAACCATGCAACACAGGGATATTCAAATGATGTGAAGTGGAAAAGGAACCTGAATTCAGTTTCCTGAGAAGCAAACAACAGCAAACTATGAAGAAACACAGAAACGAACACAGTGCAACCCTCTAATTTACAAAGACGGAAGCCCGACCCTAACAGTGAACTACAGCCTAAAAATATCTATGACAATTTAATGAAGGAAAATGATATCTGTAACAATTTTAATAAAGGAATGGGCAGTGAATAAAAAACAATAAACTGAAAAAGGAGCCTAAATTTGGATTCCTGATGAGCAAAGGACAAAAAAGAATTTAGAGACACAAAAATTAAAATAAATTACAGAAAATTACCTTACCTATCAGTCGAACCACAATCTTATACCTTATGTTTTAAAAATTATAATGTCATACTTCATTTTGCAAATTTGTTGCATTGTCAGACCTCCGTCAGTTATTCAGTCAATTTCTCTGTTTGTGTTCAATTTTAAATAATTTATAATTGTACGATTTACGATGAATAGACATGATTCAGAATCTTCGGATCCCCACAAAGAGGATCCTCATTCAAAAGCAAAAGCCAAACCCCAGATGCAGCCCAAAGGCTCAAAACCGGTTTCTAAGCCGATGGCAAAACCGTAAATGTAAGGAAATTAACCCAGTGGCATAGACGTAAATATTTCAAAAGGAAGAGGCGGTGGCAATTTTGTAAATAGACTGAAATCCACCCCAAATCACTGTTCAGTTGAACAGTGCAATTGGAGATCCTTGTGCAGGGAAGAGGATGAGAATCCTTCTGACCAGCTCATCTGAGCCGTTTAAATTTAATTTAACGGTTGTAATTATTATAATTTTTAGAGAATCTTCTTGTTTGAAACCGTTGGATTAAATTTGAACGGTCTAGATGAACTGGTCATAAGGATTCTCATTCTAAGCTCAGGAGAGGATCCTCTTCCCTTGTGTTGACTAAAGTAATGATGGTAAATTATAATTAATTGTTTAATATATTTCATATTAATATATATATACCCTGCCATTGGAATTTTGATGTCGTCAGTTATGACCTATGAAAAGGTCAAATTAGTAATTTTGTGGTGGTGTATTTTCGAAATTAGATATATATAATAGTTGTATGGTGTAATATGTGTAGTGACTTGTTTAAATTCTTACATTTTGGAACTTCAGAAAACTTTTGGTGTTGCGGATCATCGTTTGACAACCAGTTGGAGTGGATGAGATTCGAACGAAAGAGGTGGTGAATACTACTTCCAAAAAAGAGTTCGACCTGTCCAAACATATTCAACTCATCAGTTCAGAAGACACACTTTACCACAAAGGTGTTAACGAGTGCGAACTCGATGAGTCACTCCATGTACCAATAGATTATGAACTTCAGAGAATAAGTCATTGAAGGAAGAGATTAAAAAATTGAAAATGGAAGTTGAGGTAGCGCAAGTGCATTTTATGGTGTACCATGAAATGTGCTGCGATACTGAAGCTGTTGTTGCAGATGCGTACAATCAATATATATGATGGCTTGTCGTCCGACCTTACACAACTACTAGAATGCATAAATAGGAAATTGGTGAAAAAAAAACATGCCTCATCCCCTGGGATCGGTACCTGGACTGTAAGGTTGAAAAGGAAACAAAGGATATATGCATATAATCAACATTATCACAATATGCACGTTATTGACAATGATAGTAATACGAATCATAGTCCAATATACACAATTATATCAATTACAGAGATTGATCAAGTATAATACATATTTCACAAAGCTCAAACAAGACAAATACCTGATGAGTCGATTTTATATAAAATATTCATCCTTATCTTAGTACTAATGTATTGGTTATTTTGTGAGAATTTTGATACTTTGATTTCTATTTCCAACGTAGGACATTTGATTTTTTCTTGAGCAAAAAGTAATTAAACGTATGAATTTTGGAGTGATTCCAATTGAAGGATGTTCGTGAGTCTCTCAGCTTGTTCGTATCAAAGTTTCAGATTTTTCTACTAAGCGGATAATTTATGGCGATGAAATAAAGTAGCACCGCACAATGCTGTCAAGGTGAGGGCTGATTTGGGCTTGTTGATGTCCAAGATGATGTCTTTTGGGTTCGAGGCCTTCTACAATTATGTTCGGGACGTCCTAAGCTTGAATTCTAGTTGTTTTGAACTTGTTTTGGAGCCTTACAAATCCAGAAACGTGGCTGTTTTTTGGCTGGGAAGAGTTTCCAAAAATTAGAATAGGAATGTATTTCCTAATTATCTTATTATATTATGTTTCCTAGTTTTTAGAAGACCTTTTTCTGTTGTAGTATAAATAAGGCTATTTAGCCATTAGAGTTTTTAACGCATTACGTTGGAGAACTCAGTTTAGAGAGCTTTGAACGATTCAAGTTTATTTTCATGGTGTTTTCTATCTAACATTTTGTTTTATGATTGTTAGTAACTAATTTCCTTTGCTAGGCTGTGGCCACGAGTCTTAGCAAGAATATGTAGTTTATTTTCAATTTGCTTATGATATTATGCATGCAGGTTTTGAATTATTAATCCCGTATTTGAAATTATCTAATTGTCTTGATGTGACCACCATTAGGATATTTAGAAAAGTAATTTGATGCAATTTTGGCGGAGGGCTGTCCCTAAAATTAATTAAGGCTTTTTATGGTTAATATGTGTAACTTCACTTAGGATGGACGCCGCATCTTGACGCTTGCATGCTTTTTCAAAATGGTTTCACAAACTTAATGAGTCTTGCATGTTCGCATTCGATCGAACGCTACGGACGGTTGTATGTTAGATATACGTTCAATGTTTGAGGTTCCAACTAGGATATATATTAGGAAAACCTAACCTTCAAAATATGCATGGGTAATTCATAGTAATTAGAAGATCTACGTAGGATTGTTAACGTGACGGCGGAATCCTAGTAGTTAAATTAATTTTTCAAAACTATTTCTTTTGTTTTCTTTACTTTCCCTTCTTTTTTTTTTTATAAAACTAAAATATTTCCATTAATTAAAAAAAGGCAAATACAAGGACAAGATAGCCCACTTTCCCAATTTATTTAATTTTTTAAAATTATATTCATTTTTAATATTTTAAATCATAAAATCAACATTTTCCATACATTGTTTTCAAATAATTAATTAATTAAGATTTGGTTTAACATAAATTATTTATTCAATTCCCGTGACGAACGACCTTGCTAGGACTATACTACAATTACCTAGACTCTTGTAAGTATTTTAAATGTTTTTATCCCTATTTTTGCTGCTGGTAAAAATCCTATCAATACCCTAATAGGAATAAGTTCCGCACATATCCTCTACCTCGATTTCAAAGCTTAAACAAAGATCCACGACACTACCACAATAGCTAAGCACCAAGTACTTGAGCAAGCTCCTTGATTACACCTAACACTACGTATTTCTTCCACTCTCTTTTATTTTCTAATCTTTCTAAACATATATAATATATAACACACATACATATATACCTATATACACACACACACACACACATATATAATCTATGTGAATTGCATGCACAAGCATGCAACCTTCTGCATATTGTAAAAGAATGGAGGGAAAGCTCGTATTTGTACTAGTGTGAGGCGGCTGCAAAACTTGGAGACCAAGTAAAAATATTATTAACATATACATACATGGATCAACCGCAAGGATTTGATACCTATCCTATTGAGATGTGTCAATTGCATGGCTCATATAGAGCACACGTACGTTGATAGGCTAACACAGTCAGCACCTAAAGTGCATATAGCGTGAACGACACGTCCCAAATGTAGCTTTACACCTTCTCTTAACATCACCCACGTCAATCGTCATTAACTGTAGCCAACAATACTTAGAGTGCTTACAAGCACCTCATGTCAACTTAAGCTCTACGATATGTGTATATCTACATATATACTAAACGTACATATATGCAATACACACAAAAGAAACTTAATAAAAACTCTTCAAATAATAATATGATTATATTTAAAACACGGGGTCACACTATGTAGGCACTCATTGTTGTGTAGCCTAGCTTTCATTACATGTAGTGGGATGCTGTTGCGTGTGGATACAAAGTCAAGCTACAAGATCGAGCAAAATCATATTGTGATTAAGAAGTCAAAAGGTATATTGTATAGGCACTCATTGTTGTATAGCCTAACTTTTATTACACATAGGGGATGTAGTTAAGTGTGGATACAAAGTCAAGAAAAAAGATCGAGCAAAATCACACTTTGTGATTAGAAAGTCAACAAGTCTATTGTATAGGTACTCATTATTGTATAGCCTAGCTTTCATTACATTAGTGTGATGAGAATCCTCTTCGAATTCTTTTTATGAGGATCAAAGGATCTTCGCATTTTAATTATTCATCATATATTGTACAATCAGTTTTTGTTAAGTACTATTTGTATTTAATTTTAAATAATAAAATTCAAAATAATTTCTGACCCACAATGTGCGATAAACGGTTAGAATGTAAGAATCATTAAAATCACAACAATTTGGATCCAAATCCCATTAGTGTCAAGTGTAAGTGTGGATACAAAGACCGAGCAAAATCGTACTTTGCGATTATAAAGTCAAGGGTAATCTGGATCCAAATCCCATTAGTGTCAAGTGTAAGTGTGGACACAAAGACCGAGCAAAATAAGTGTGGATACAAAATGAAACAAAGACCGAGCAAAATCGTACTTTGCGATTATAAAGTCAAGGGTCTATGTATAGGCACTCATTGTTCTATAGCCTAGTTTTCATTATATGTAGTGGGATGTAGTTGGGTGTGGATACAAAGTCAAGCAAAAAAGATGGAAAGCATTTTTGTTACCACCTGCTCATCACCCATCTTACAGCTTGTCATGTGTCCCACTAACTAGCAAAAGTTAACTTTAACATTAAATAGTTTTCGAAATGATTTATGTTTAATTTATTAAACATAATAAATAAAAAAAAACCCAACAGACGGTGAGATGGAGGTTAAAGCTTTGGGAATGGAGATGAACGAAAAAAGCTGCTGTAAAAATCACGATCTTATCGGTGCTATCCCATTAAACCCGCATTTACTGAAAACGTAAATCAAAGTTCCCGACTAACATCCAACGTGCCAGCGCAGTCGCCGTCGCAGCCACCACCCTTCATGTCAGCACCGTCGCTGTTGCCGCCCTCCTCCATGGCTTATTTTGTGTTGCCAATCCTACAAATTCAACAAAACAAGGGAAAAAAAAAAAGAAAAAAAAAAGAGAAATTAGGTTCTCATCCCTCCTTTTGCTACTTCATTAATTAAAACCTTATTCTTTTTCAAATTTTTATCAACATTCTTGGGTATTAATAACATCATTAATTATTTCAATAATACAATATTTTTTATTTAAATATATTCTTTAGTGTTAAAAATGTTACAATTAGTATATTTATATTTATGGCTTAATTTTTTATCATATATTTTTATTTTTAGTTTGTACTCACTTTTAATTTGCAAACCTTTTTTAATTTGTACCAATTTTCGTTTTCAGTTTTAATTTGTACCCATATATTAATTTCTTTTTGTGCCCATATTTTTTAAAGTTTTATTTGTATTTGTGCCCATGTGTTTATCGTCACGTGACATTGTATAATTAATCAATGATAGAAAAATTACATATAGCATATTTATGTTTTATGGCTAAACTTTTTATCATATATTTATATTTTTAGTTTGTACCCACTTTTAATTTGCAACCTTTTTTTAAATTTGTAGTATTTTCATTTTAGTTTTAATTTCTACCCATGTATTAATTTCTTTTTGCGCCCATATTTTTAATATTTTCATTTGTACTCAAAAATTTTTTTATCTTTTATTTGTACCCTAATTTATTTATAATGTACCCATTCTTCTTTATTAATGTACAACTTTGTTATATGTGAAATGTACCAATTTTTTTAACACTATGGATACATTCTTTTGCCATTTATTATTTCTTATTGTTACATAGTTTTTATCCATTTATTCAATCAAATGTTTGAAATTTTTTTATTTAAGTCGTTTCTGATAGTATTATAATGAGAGATTTTAAATTTGTAGGATTATAAATCTCATAAAATATCAAACAATTAATATTAAAACTATAAAAATATAAATATTAATAATAAA